TATTTTTTTTTTCCCCGCTTGTTTTTCGCCGTATTCGTTTGATACGCGGTCGAGCCTCCCGCGGTTTTCGTACGCAATTACTATCGGATACCCACTACCTACCGTTCACCGTTTACAAACAATTGTAAATCGGAACGTCGTAATAATAATAATTTTAATAACCGACTTGACCGGACTCGTACGACCGAATAGTAATAATAATAATAATACGATGGTGCTGTTGTAAACAACAATCGTTTTTTTCACCCGGACGAAACGGCCGACGACCCACTCTCGCGCCGAATCATTATTGCACACGATTGTGTTATAACGTTAGGCGGATATTTTCGTAGGCGGACCATTGTTTCGCGCCGTCGCCGTCGGGGTCTGAAAACGCGAATGTTTTACAATATCACGGTATTTTACGCGTGCTTGTTCAACGCGACGCGCGTTTTGTAACCGTCGGCCGAACAGGGTTATATTACACGTGAAGAAATTCGTACCACCGTGATAATATTTTGTACGGGCACCGGTAACTGAGCTGAGATGTGCCTTGTTTCAAAAAGGTATACGGTAATTAGGCCGCTAAAAATTTACATTTTGTAACAGGTAGACCCGGCGTTCGGACCACTATAGTATTGTTATTATTTTTTTTTTTTTTTTTTTTTTTTTTTTTTTCCATTTACGACGCGGGCTGCTCTTAAACCGCTAAGGTTATTAGTTGGTTTCGGGACTTGTTGCGCGCTTATTGCACGAAAAAGCGTTTGAAAAAGTTAAAAAGCTTTGAAAGAAGCACTTGAATGTATTTAAAACAGCAAAAACGGTAGAAAAGTTGAAAATATACTCCCTCCAACGGCTCCAACTTTTGGAGTTGTTATACAGGGAATCTTTAAACTCTTCTACCTTTTTTTTTTTATAGTATTTCTTTTTTAGTTGTTTTTTTTTTCAGGATATTTTGACGTTCATTAACGTACTTTTGTAAATTTTAAGTGCAATAAGTAAATTTGCTCATCAAGAAATGTTTTTTTATTGAATTTTAAATCTAGCTGGTTACCAAGAAAGTCGTGTTTTGATTTTCTTTGTACCTTTTTTTAATAAGTGAACAAAACGTAGAAAGAATGAGAAAATTCCCGAAAATAATTTTTGTATTATTTGAATTTTGTTTTTTAAATATAATTCGGCTTAAAACATTCGTAGGGACTTAAAATGTCTTTACATAACATGACTTTACATTTTCTGGTCGTAGTAAAGTTTTAAAAATAATTGAGCAATTTTCAAGCTATTTATAGACATTTTAATTTTGTGAGTTTTTACGAAATTTTTATTTGGTAAGTACTCTGTAAATAAACTGTTAGACTTAAAATGAAATTTATTAGTAGTTTAATTAATGTATTATTTTTTTTTTTTTTTATAAAAGTTTTAAAAATCAAATTATGACAAAAATTGTAAATGTTATGGCCTTTCAAAACATGTATAATTTTGATTAACGTGGTTTTTTATTATATTACAGTTCACCAGATAAACCATTATACAATTTGTTTATTTGTTTATATGTTTATTTAAAAGGGCGAAGCCCATTGAAAATATATAATACGGATCGTATAGTTAACAATTTCGAATACACGGTAAATAGTTACACAATACAATAATCGTTAATAATCATAAGCTGAAACAAACGCAAATTAATGTATTCATTAAACAAACATACATAATTATTACGGAACAAATTTACATTTAATCTTAAATTTATATTGATTTATGTTTAGATCTTATATTTATGCTCTATATAGGCAATTTTATATACGGATCGGAAAAATGTGTTCCTCCGACGAAGAACGTCTCATGAACGCCGGGTTTTATTGATAGCGTGTATTTATTTATGATAAGTTGGATATTTAATAAAAAACGAAATAATATTAAGAGGATGTACCCCTTTTAGACCTCCCTATAATATATGCTTGAATGAGGGGGCCGGGGGGGGGGGGCGCGCCCGTTGAAAGTTTTGTTACCGCGTGCAAATTTTGAAGTTACGTCATTCAGGTAAGTACATATTTATTCTGCGTTGAAATATTTTCAATCATTTCTTCAAAAAAACTTTTTTTTCCAAAATTAGGAATAGAATATTCCCTCTAACGAATACAATTTTAGAATCTGAACATAGCGAATAATGTATTGGTTTTCAATTATATGTCCTTTTTATTTTTTCTGTCAGAAATCTGGCTCCAATCAAAAAATGGCAAGATCTTTTTGTTATATTTCTAGTTCTAATTGGTGAATTTTCGGATTTTTCAAGTGATTTTCAAAAATAATTGGTGAAAACCGGAGAAAAAACGTATTGAAAAAATGAACAAATATTTACGTCGTCACAAAGTGATTAACAATTAAGCGTTCATGATTGCTTGTTATTAATATTGAAACAAATAAAAATAAAATGCAATGCAGATAAAATAGCACGAAGATGGAAAATGCTGGGGGTCACGCCACTGACCTACCTATTGTACGTTTAATGATTTTTTTAATAGATAGACTCTAATTAAAGCATCAATGCATCAATGCATCGATTAGTTGTAAATAAAAATGAATATTACTTTAACATTTAATACGGGGATATTAAATAATTTCGAATGTCGATATTATCGTCATGGCATGGTAAATTTACGACCAGCAATATATAGGCAGCGCTCTCTATATAACTATTATAGTAACTATTAATAAATAAATAAAATAATGTATTGCAATGTTATGGTCCCACGACATTTTATTTCCATATATATTTTAAACTATGTGACTAAAAAACACAGATACGGCCGAGTAGGTACTTGGTATTTAATAAAAAGAACGTAGTTGATTTAATGAATGCAAAATGAAACGAGGCGTTTGTTATTCGAGTGGGCCCTTACATTTCTTAGTAGCGACTAAAAGCAATCATTTTGTAATAGACTTTTTAATAAATATCATTTAAATATTATGCCATCAATGGTAGTTGTAAAATTAGTCTGAAAGCAGATTTGAATTTTCGTCAAATTTACTCGAGATCGACCTTTCCACTTTTTTGATTTTGTATTTTAATTTCTCTGAAAATTAAAATATTCCATTTTTTTTTTTTTTTTTTTTAGGATTTATAGGGGGATAAAATCCAAAAGGTGAAGCAGTCAATTTCAAGTAGACTTGACGACAAATTCAAATCTGTTTTTAAAATTCTTATCGTTTTACTAGACCAATCGGTAAACGTACGAAATAAAACGCGTCTGAATTCCCATGTTTCACGTGTGTGTTAGACAAAAGCTGACAATTTATTGCAATTTGCACAGTCTGCGCCTATCGATTATTATCGGCGGTGACGTACGAGTTATTATTATTGCATACGTATTTGTAGAGGCTTTTTATTTTTTATTTTTTTTTTTTTTAATTGTGAAAATGGAGTATAAATTTGGTATTTGTTTTGACTCCCGCCGCATTATAATATTACTATTGATACTGCGCGGTGCAACGACAAGGAACGTTTTTCGACGAGAAAAATGTAATACAATATAAGTAATTAGTTGAACATATGATTTATCAGTTTGTTTAATCGAATTCACTAATTCAACAACACGTGTAACAGGGCATTGTGTTACTTTTCGAACAAGACAATCAGAAAACAGACAATGTCGGTAGACAGGACTATAGTTGGGCTGTACAGTAGCGCGCCGAACATTCTTCTCGCTCGAAAAAAAAAAGAAAAAAAAAAAATTAGGACACTGCGCCCGCGCAAAAAATGGATTTTTACATGCCCCGCAAAAACTTTCAGATTAGCTAAAGTGACCGCGTAATATTCAGGCTGTCGTATTCGTAAGTGGGATGCGTTGACAACACCTACAATACGTAAAACCAAAGGCCGAAAATAGATCTCTGGATGGTCGGTCAATCACAGTCGACGTTCAACGTATTTGGCGGTCGTCTCACCCGCTCGCCCGCATCGGGCCGTGGGGCTGAAAAACACCGGCTCCGGCACGCCGTCGGCCGGACAAACAAATCCGCGTAGTTTATAATAAGCAACGGCGGATCTACTCGTTTTCGGCTTCGTTAATCCCGTGGACTGCCGACGCGTAGCCAATCCGTTCGATCGATTTTGGCAAACAAAATATTTAGTTATTTCTCATTGGGTGTGCAATGCAATCCGCGTGCATATGATCGGGTATCCCGTATACAGCGATAGTATTTTGATAATAATTAACGCCGCGGTAGACCGAAAACTACTGCAGCGCTGGGGTCGGGAAAAACGATTATCCCTGAGCCACGCGCGCTTGAAGTGGACGTTTGTGTGCGCCACAAAAGCCGCGGGGGCCTATTGCTCCCCACGCCCATTCAGCGCGTAATAACCTACGACAATACGATAAAACCGATTCCTCGAGCACGAAAACACGTCCAGCGCCCTAATAAATTAAATTGCATTGGTTTAAATTAGACGAGTCAGATGCGGGTCGTACGGGAAACGTACAACACCGGGCCGTTATAGTGAACGTGATTAACGATAAAAAACGATAAAAAAAAAAAAAAAATGTTCGTCCCGTCGCGTTCGTTCGTGATCCGGCGCCCCGCCGGAACCGCAGAACACCACGCGCGGTTGACATTCACAGAGCGGACAAACGGGTCTGGCGACAGCGTTGTTATTATTACGCGATCGTGGTAATTGATAATAATTAGGTGGGCGCGGGGTTTTTTTTTTTTTTCCGTCCATCACCGTGCGACGAGAGGAGAGACATCACGAGAGGATTGTCATAACGGTGAGGACGCGTTCGACGCGCGCCGGCGAACCGAGCGAGACAGGCCGCGTTCGCACCGGCCGCGGCGTGGAACAGCGCCGTGTTGCCGTTAACGCGCCGTACCGCTCCGCGGCGCGCCCGGCAACGCCGCGGGCGTTCGTGACGCACGACTTTCGCTCGACGGCCGGTCGACCGTCTATCGCTAACCGTTGATTAGCGCGCTCCGCCGTTATCATTGATATGTTATTATCACCGTCGTCGGCCAGTGGTAGTGGCAGTTTACTGCGCGGAAACACGCGCAATAACAATGTTATAATAGTTGATAAAAACGGAGTAATAAAAGAGAGAAAGAAAAAAAAAAGCGAGCCCGAACGACGGGACCGTCGCGCTTATTTCATTGTCGTCCGAGTGACTTACATTTCCGTCAGTTTTCCGGAAAGTCGTTACGACGACGTCTCACGGTGTCCGCCCGCAGTCGAATCAGTCGCGATTGCCTATTGTTACTATTGTTAAATCGCATCCCGCAAAATGACGGAAGAATCGAAACCTCTGTTGAACAATGACGACGTTTCCGATCAGAAAATTTCGGACGCAGGTAACGTTGACAATAATGTACAATTCGTATCCGTGACCGTTCAATACACAATCACGATTAATATATTATTGGTATGATTAGGAGGTACACATATATATTATCAGCTCTAGGTAGTGAGACTTATAGCCCGTCGTAATTTCTTATGGTTTTGTTAATTTTTTACAATTAATTCAGCTCGTGTAGGTATAATATTGTGTTTACACTCGTGTGTACCGTGTGTAGACATTTGTTCTTCGTTTTTTTTAAATAATTCGTTGTTAGCATCGAGATGAAAGACAATCATTTCTAACAATAATAAAATAATACCTACCCGTGTACGAATATTTATACAATTTTTTTTTTTCTCTAATAATAGGTAGGTATGTAGGCTACATAATAATAGGTATAAATTATAACAAAATATAATAATAATAATAATAATAATAATATAGGAACCTATGCCATTGAAAAGATAAGAAAATCTTGCCGTAATATTTATGAGTAATGGTCTCGGCTAAAAGATATAATATTGGACCAATAGTGATTGGCAATAATAATATGATTGAAATGAATTTACTTTTGACTGAAAATAATAAATGGCTTGATACCCATAGTGAATAATTGCAATAGAAATCTATGATTTTATTATCAATTCTTGTTACTTAATTTAAATTTTTTAAAAAAAAAATCTAATATTTCATTAAAATACTACTTTATATTTTCTCGTAATAGTCTTAATAATAGTTCAAATTTAAATTTAAAAAATTAAGTCCATTTTGTTAATTATTTTTTTAGTATTTTAACAAAGATTTTAGTTTGGTAAAGTCTGATGACTCACTGATGGTATTAAAACATTTTAGATACTAAAAAATGACAAGTATAAAAATAAAATATATACATTGTAAAACCAATACTTTCCTCACTACGCTTAGCATATAAAAACTAATAGTAAAATTAGGATTATGTTTCAAATTATGTTTATTTAGCTTGGTTTACATGGTTAACTATGTCAAACTATCAAATAAATAAATATTTAGAAATCTAAAATTTCAGTATGACACTGAATATGATAAGATATGATTATTAATGTTAGTCGTTAGAGTTGATATTTAAATGTAGTATGATGTAATAATTAATTATATAGCTATTATTATTACATGATCAAATATATAATATTGACGGACCAAGTGACAATACACTAACAATTACTATCTTTATATTTTGTTCCTAGGCTAAGAATCTTATCTACTACTCCTCGGATTAAGAGCCTTTCATTTATTTTCATGATAAGTTGCTCACTTCGTGTGTATCTTGATCTGCATTAAAATTTACTTGATAATTCACAAATGATAAATGATAACAATGAAGTATAAATACAAATATTTTTATCAATAGGTTTAGAAAATTTCTAGTGAATCAAATATTTTAAAATAAATTATAAGATATTTTACTGTATGAACCAGGTATAATCAATCGTGTAAGTTTTCAATTCATTAGTATTCAAATATTATTGTTAAATTATTGACAATTTGAATATATGACATGGAAGTTGTATTTAACAAATACAATTATAGAAAATAAATACCTAATTCTATGGATAAAAACTGGTATTACACAATCCTATTATTCCATGGGTTATAGTGTGTTATAAATCTATTACATTTTATACTCAATTTGACATTTAAACATAATATAATATTTTAAAATGAATGTACTATTTTATACTAAACCAATTCAAAATGATTATAGATTTAAGCAAAATTCCAAATTGTATTTTAGTTTGGTATACTTGGTTTTATTTCATGTATTTATTATCTCAATGTAAGTAATCTTTTAGATTCTGAGTGAAGTGAAGAAAAATAATGTATTTTTTGTTTTACTATGATTTATGAGATTTTGCTATTTGTTGTGTTTGTGAACAAATTTTCTACCAAAAATATTGTTCCTATCAAAAAGTTACAAAAATCTTAGGTAACTGATATTTTGTTTAGTTTTTATTTGATTTTATGTGAATAAAATTGTTTGGTCAAACTTAAATGCTTGAAAATTTAATACAAGGTTCATCAAAAGTTGTACTTTGTCGCAAAAAAAAAATTGGATTTTAAGTAGTTTTTTTTTTTTAAAAAAGTGTTTAAAATTCAATTTTTTACAAAAATCTTATTTAAAACACATTTCACTAAATTATAGATTAAAATCTTATTTTTTAAACAACAATTTATATGTCGTGTACAAATATAAACTACAACTTTATGTATGATACTTTCTTAACTTCCACATTCAACAGTGGCTCACCCATCGGTAGCATTGGTTTTTTTATATTATGAATGAGCTAATGTTGTAGTATATACTACTAAAGATGAAATTACTTGGCAAACTAGATTAAGAAATTTACCAATTACTAATAAAAACAAAGAATTTATTTATAAAAAGAATATTATATTTATATTTATATAATAATTAATTTTTCAAATAAACCAGAATAAATTACAATTTTGTTTCCAGACAAAAATGTTATTTATACTTAAATTTTTAAGATTTAACATATTGATTTTCACAATATAATATTACCATTTACTGAATTGGTTTTTCTCTTGTAAAAGTTAATATTGTAAAAAAAAAAAAAAAAACCATTTGAAAATTATATTATTTAATTTAATACACTTGGGTATGTTAGATCAGTTTTATAACATTTAGAGGATTCAAAATTAATTATCTGTACCTTATTGTCTTTTACATAATTTAAAATTCAATATATTAGGAAAATTTACATTTCATGCATAATTTACCTCATTACATATTTTGTGTTTTTACTATATTTCAGATTCTCCTTCATCATCAGTGGTTGAAACCAATACTAATGATGTACCAAATGAGAATCCAGATTTTGTTGTTCCAGAACCAGGACCTGCAAATTCTACTTCTAAAATCACTTGTAGAGTATGTCAAGAAATGATTGATGTTATGGGTAAATTGGATCAGCATGTAGTGAAATGTAATCGCTGTAACGAAGCTACTGTGAGTGTACATAAATATTTAATTTATATAATATGAAAATTACTGCATATTATCATTATTTAATATACTATTATGTTTCAGCCAATTATGAGTGCTCCACCAGGCAAGAAATATGTACGCTGTTTGTGTCATTGTCTTTTAATTTGTAAAAGCTCATCACAACGTATTGCTTGTCCCCGTACAAACTGTAAACGAGTAATTAACTTAGCTCCAAGTCCTGTAACACCCGCAGTCCCTCAAGTTTTAGGCATGTGCCGAGTCACTTGTGTTCATTGCCAAGATACATTCCTTGTGAGTGTACAATTAAATTAAATTCATTAATTATAAAACAATTTAACTAAGGTTTTTTTTTTTCAGTTTAATATGCTACAAAATGCCTTAGCTAGATGCCCACATTGTCGCAAAGTGTAAGTATTAATCAGGGGTTGGTTAATTTGTATATATTACTAAGAGCCATTAATATATCTGTTATGGTGGAAGATGTAAATGTGGTAAAAGTTGACATTTCTCTAAAAATTGGTAAATGTTGTAATTGTAGTCATTCCCCAGTTATTGACAACAATTAACAGTTATATTAGAGAATGTTAATTATAATTGATCTCCATAGTAAAAACAGCTAATATACAAAAAGGAGTGAGACAAAGCTGCTCCTTATTACCCTGTTTATTCAATATCAACATTGAAAAAGCCATAGCAGAAATAAAACTAAATCTAGAAGAGAGAAGGATAGTAGGAGTAGTAATAGGGGAAGTCCTAATATTCATGATACAATTTGAGGATGAAATAGTTTTGCTTGTTACATCCAAAGAAAATGTGGAAAACAGCGCTTACTTAAATGGCTGACATATTTTTAACATTCAAATTATACATAAAAATGACACAAACAAAAGTACTAGTATGCAGCAAACAAACTAAACCAAGCATTAATATATTCCTTAAAGGAAACAGAGTATAGAAAAAGTGGAAGAATTTTAATGTTTAGTAAGCATAAATAATAAGCAACAATGGAAGATCTGAAAAAGAAATAAGTGGCAGAATAGTTCAAGCAAAGAAGGCATTTCTACTTAAGAATAAATTATTAACATCAAAGAATATAGGTTTAAAAACAAGGAAACATTTAATTAAAACATAGGTATGGAACAGCACTACATGGCAGTGAAAGGTGGATGCTTAATAAGAAAATAAAAATACCTTAGAAGCCTTCAAAATGTAATGCTGGAAGAAAATGGAGAAAATAAAATTGACAGAAATGAAGTCAAACTAAGAAGTGTTAAAGTTAGTCAAAGAGAAAAAACCTTGTTAAGCAATTTAAGGTCAGTGCAATGGCGCATGATAGGTCATATCCTGAGGCACAAGGAGAAATGATAGAAGAGAAGCAATGGAGAGGAAGGACAAGAATGAGTTATACAAGTCAAGTAATTAAAGATGCAAGAGTTTGTTCATAAAAACAACTGTAGGGATAGTCAAGAGATTCTTGGAGAGATTATTTGTTGTACACCAATCTACCATTGACTGCTCCAAAAAAAAAATTTAAATAAAAAAGCTTTTATAAATCTATAATCATCATTAACTAATAAACTTGTTAAATTACTTCATTTACTAGTAAAAGATGTACATTTAAATTTAAAATGCAGTTTTTTATATTTATCTATCTAATTGAATCATTTTAGTAAATTACATCATTGACCAATTTATTTCTTTCACTGTACCATATCTATAGGAAACTTAAAATGACTTCCTATATTAATCAGAAATCATTATTATTATTTTTTTTTTAAGGAAAACCAAGCAATTTGAAAAAATGCAAATAAAAAATTAATTTTGTGTAATGATTCTCAAACATTGCTCTGAAATAATAATATATTTTACAAATAAGTTATTCAATTTATTTATGTTTTTTTTTTTTACAAATTAAAATACATATTTGTAAATGTTTTATTTTAAACAGGCTGTATAAAGTGTTAAAGTATATTTATGTTTGATTATTGTTTTGGAAAATTAATGACCCATGTGGAAGTAATAGTTATGTTGATAAATCAGCCAATAGTGTAAAATCAAAAATGATAGACATTTTTTAAATTAACCAGTTTAAAGTGTAGAAAAGCATATAAATTATAATTCTTACCTTGAATAAATAACATTTATGTTATGACAAATGAATATACAATTTCAAGTCATTAATTTTGTTTAAAGTTTGAACAAAGAGTAATAAATTTTGTTTTAAATGTTAAAACTCAAATCAATATCAAATCATAGTTTTCAAGAAAATATCTTTCTAATTCCCATAGGCCTTGATGAATTAATTAAATTTTAAAAATTATCAAACTCATCTAATTAAATAACAAAATGTTAATTATTTATTTGTAGTTCAAATTGTTACATTACTACATTTGTTTAAATAAGTATTCTTAAATTGAATAAAACTATTAAGAATACTGTAAATAATTTTGTTTTATAAATCTTTTAAAAAATTATTTATTATTGTAATATTTTGTAAAATTTTAGATCATCTGTTGGTCCAGAGTTTGCAAAAGCGAAAGGCATATTTTTCTTTGTGGTTGCTATAATATTGTTTCTAGTTGGCGGTGGAATTACTTATTTCACATATTCATACGCAATAAACCACATTGGCTATTTTTCCATTCATATGGGTTAGTATTATGCATATTAAATTAATTCTTAACATTACAATTTAATATCATTATTTTTTTTCACAGTAATTCTCATGTTAACACTTATAGCACTTTGGAAATGTTTGTATTACTGCAGAATCAAAGTCAGTTCTATTGATGGGCCCGTTTAAAACACAATAACAGTTTTAATAATAAGTAGGTTATAACTTATAAAATATATCTAGAATATTGGCCATTTTATATAATAATATAATTTTACATAATGGTATATAATTATAGTTTTATACAATTTGTATTTTCATTTATTAGTTATTGTATTTGTGGAATCTGGTAATACTACTATAAAGACTACTGGTATTTACTATCTAATATCAAATAATAAAACATTTTTCATATTATTTGTGTATAAAATTAATGACATTCAGTTAAAAACATTTATAATATATTTATTTACAGAATATTCCTTTAAAAATTAAATTATTAAAAAATATAATTTTATGATGTATAAAACTTAACTGTTGATAATATATTATATAAAAAGAAATATAATATATAATATATCATGTTAACACATTTTTAGGTAAAATATATTATTTAATATATAGAATATCTTGTATCATTATATTATTATTATTATATTATTTATTATTATTATCATTTTACTTTATTTTACGCTTAAAAAAAGAAATTATAGTTAAAAATTATTATCCAATAACCAATTATATATTTTAAAGACCAGTGTTATATTTTTTTTAACAATAAAGTTTGAATAATATAATTAATTATTGTCTGGTGTGTTATTTGTTATTCTTATTAATTATTAGTAATAAGATTTATACAATAATACATTTGAATAATTTTTAATCACAAAATATTTATTATCATTTATACTAATTTAAAATGTTTGATGTATTGTAATTTTCATTTATAGAACATAAATTAATAAGATGTCTAATTACTATAAACATCTTATTAATATAAGGAAATCTAATAACTTTCCAAATACATCAAACTGTGTTACCATTTTACTAAAATGTTGACCAGTTTTATCTGGGTCTACAGGGTTGTTATTAGGGGTATCACATGGTATACAATGACAATGGAGGGCCTATTTCCCTCCCCCTCTTACCATATTGGCCTGCTTCAATTTAATACTGCAATTGAATTTAATTAATTAATTAATATAATATAAAAAATATGATATTATACTTTTATCAGTGTTATCACTTCAAAATATTAACGTTAATATTCAAATATATACAAGAACGGATGGATGCATATTGCATAAAAATGTAACACTACAGCAACGGTACTACCATAGACATAGAATATAATATATTAATACTCTGACTCTTCACTCAGGAGGTTTTATTGAAACAATGTTTTTATACATTTTAAGTGATTTTTTCAAGGATTTCTGAAGTTTTCAAGTGCTGTTTTGTGAATTTTAAGAATACATAAATCTGGTTTCTAATTATGATAATTAAGTTATTAATTTTGTATTAATATAAATTTATGACAAATATGTACATAAAGGTATAAAAGCCATCTACAAGTGACGACTATAATACAGTATACGCTCTTATATCGGTTTCATTTCCTTTGAAATCTCCTTCCTCCCTACACCCAAAAAAATTCGGTGTTATAATATTTTTGGTTTGGTAATCATGAAAAAATGTCATACATAATGTTTTTAGCCTGCCCAAAGGTGGGCAACCTACTTTCCACCTATTTCTTTTCATTCAATACCAACAAGGTCAATACCAAAAAGTATATGGGTAAACAAATATTAAAAAATTAGTACGAATGACGGTTGGGACAGCTAGTATTTTAAAATTATAATAATTTTTTTTATAAAATAATTATATAAAAACAATATTATTAAAATGGATAATATTTGTATTTTATATTAATTTAAATAATGATTATTTTACCTTATAAAAATTAGTATTAAAAAAAATGAAATGTTATAAATAAATAAACAGAAATTAGTCCTATTTATTGCAACCTGACATACTGTCTTGACATTTGGTATTTGTCATTTGATGCAGACATTTGCCTTAACAAAATTTATCAATCCTATAGTACATCAACGATAACATTTCTCTGCATACTGAAAACCGATGTCTCGTGTATAATTAATTTTTTACAACATTTTCGGTAGGTAATTTATTAAAAATTACGATCTTCATCTACTATATCTAATACCAAAGCTAAAATATTTCGGGGATCCAATATTTTATTTTTATTTCTTTTTAAAATTAGTACCTTAATTGTTTATGAGTAACATTATTATGTTTATTATAAAAACATATAAATATATAAATAAAAAAATGTATGTATAGAAATAAAAAATAAATTGATTATGATTGCGTCGCCTGGAATACTATAAGTATATTATGTGACTGGTTTCGAACTAAAAATTCATCATCAGAAATATCACAGTCAAAATGTAAAATGCGACTCACGCTGAGACTCATTAATGAACGATCTATCAGTTGAAGTATGGTAAGTTTTCACAAAGACGTTAGTCAGTTAGGAGAAATGGTTCAGAACAAAGAAAAAATTGTAAAGATCAAATAGAGAAAAAGGAAGTCCTGGATAACGGTCAAAATTGTAGACCTTTTGGAAGAAAGATTACCTATGAAAAAGCTTTCAATAGAGTCAAACATGACAACATTATGAATATACTTAAAGAAGTCGATTTATTTGGCAAAGATTTAAGAATAATAGGCAACCTGTATTAGAATCAGACAGCTTATCTGAGACTTGATGGAGATGTAACCGAGGGTGTCCAAATACTACGGGGTGTTAGATAAGGATGCATCCTATCGACCTTAATTTTCAACCTCTATTTTGAGAAAATATTCAATGAGGCTCTCGACGGAATAAGGAAGGCATAAAACTTAGCCAGAATCAATAAAATCAGATATTCGGATGGCTCTATAATTTTAGTCGACACTATTGGTGAACTGAAAACTTTATAGTGATGCTTTGTCAACAATAAATATGTCATATTATGATAGAATAATTAAATAAACCTTTAATGTTTTACCGATTTTCCTATTTTTTCTGCGTTTTTCCCGGTTTTCCCGTGTTTTTTCTAGGTTTCTAACATTTGCTGGGAAAACTTTTGGGAAAATTAAAAAATGAACTTTTTATAGTACCTCTTCAGTAAGATTCTCTTCCAGAAAAAGTTCTATCATTTAAAATCTGAGCAAAATTGCAGGTAGAAAAGTTGTACACAGAAAAAAAGGGCCATAATATGATTTTACTAATGCCTACATTTAGTACATTTCTGTTTTTCCGACATTTTATCCCGGTTTTTCCCAGATATTATAAAAACCACTAGAAAATTCAAAAAAGTACCTCCCTAAAATACCATGTAGATAAATTTCTTCTCAGAAAATAAGCTATACTTGATACATCGGAGCAAGATTTTCTATCGTACAGAGCTGATTTCTTGCTACCCTTTTTTTATAAATATATTATGTTGTAATAATATGTTGCCTTAACATCGAGCGATACGGCAGATACGGGCTAGCTATCATATTTTCTAAAAATATGATAAGTTATTTTTCCAATACGGAAAATATAACGAGTTGTGAATTGTATATAGAAAATAGATAGGTACAGAAGATTGCATTAATATTTTTTTTTTCGATCGGTTGAAAGTTGTATAGTTTAAATTTTTTAATTTGAATAATTATCATTTAATTATTCAATTATTTGTCAAAGTATGTAAAAAAGCACAAAAATGTAAAAAAAAAAAAAAAAAACACTCCCGCAAAATATGGAAAAATATTAGATTTGACATCATGTCATCGAGAAATCAATTTATTTCGCACACTGCTATATTACACAATAAATAACAAAAGTATGCAAATACTATAAGTCCCCAACCGTGGACATGAGTATATTATCTACAATAAACTATAATATAAAGTTTAAGTAGGTACGTAGATATTCGTACCTATTGTTTTTGGCGTTACCATGGTAAATTGTTTTATGTGCTCTAAATATAACTGTTAATACTGTGCACCGAAAACACATTACTATTGTTTTTACCGATCTGTACAGTACTATACGAAATATATAGAGACTCGGTTAAAACCGTTCGCTTCTAATTCATAGAAAATTATAGTGAACATCGTTTGCGTAATCACTATATACTATATATGTATAATTTTTTTTACAAAACATGGAAGACATCAATAACTACAGTGAGTCCTATCCCTATGGATTTGAATTCGACTTAGGGGAAGAAACAGCGTTCTACCACGGTGAATCGCAAGTGCAATATAATGAGGCCGTATCTGTGCCATCATTTGATAATTCGTATGCCAAAGAAACGAGTAGTTCTGTTATTGAACAGGGACAGTTAATGGATTTGAACGATTTGATAAAGAAGATAGAAAAGTTAAGATTAGAAGAAATTGCTCTAACTCACCGTAAAAACAACGGGTTGGTGTTACTAACCGAATTTTCCGAAAAAGGGTTGATATCGGTAAGAGAAGACACTATATTATACAATGTTGTCAATATTATATAATAAAATAATAAAGTGAAAAAAAAATTATAGTCAATTCATTTATACAAATCTAATGAAGGAAATAATATTATTTAATAATTTGCTGTAATTCTACTGTTGGAATTAGTGTTGGTGGCTCATTATTTTTCGAAAAAAGTGTAACCATACGTGTATTATTCATATCATTACAATTAAGCTTTGCATACTTATTTTCTGTAACTATCTATAATTATTTCATGTGCAATGGTGGTTTTATATCCAGGGGGTGGATAAGTTATACCAATTCCCCCGAAATGTCTTCAATAACTACTTTTTAAGTATTTATTTATTACAATTTATTGTTTTTTAAGTGAATGAAATGAATGAGAGGACTATAAAATTAACTCACTGCTCTGAGATTTACATCTGGTTGCGTCACTGTGCAATGGCATTATTGAAAAGGAATAAAAATATTAATTTTCAAAAAAAAAAAATTTGGGAACAATTGAAATAAGAACATAATATAACATATGTAGAGCATCTGTCATCACGACTAAATTTTATATACAGATTTCGAATAAACCATCTCTCCTGGTTAACTGCTGTTTTTCTTTATCCCAGACTATTAGATAAATTAATACGATACGTATATCTGTAATCATAAATAATACAAATATCGGAATTTCTTATGTTTAGAGCCAAACGGAGTTTTCAACGACAGCTGAAACTCCGAGTGAATTACGTGCAGTATACGAAAATCTATTATGGAAATTCAAGGAAACAAAAGAATCATGGTTCAGAAAAGAGAAAAATCTAAAGGAAGAGATAAAGCTTAAAACCGAATATTTAGAATCGATGCGCGAAAAATGTTCCAATCTTGCCATCAACCAGGACGAATTGGAATTAAGCGCCGGTTTGAAAATGGTTCATCCAAAAACCGGGAAAAAACTTGACCGTGACGTAAGCTCTATAATGTAACATAATGTTTATATTTATTGTCATTTTTACGATTTCAACAGAAGGAAAAGAAGATTACAAGACACATAATATATTTTGCATACATCCCTCTTCCTCATTTCTATTCAATGCAAATTATGTCACAGCGGCAAATATACGATTCCGTACGTTTATACCTTTTTGCTTTTTGAAAAAATGTTTATTTTTGCAACCTGACCCTTAAATTAGTATACAAATTAGCGGAACTTTGCCATCGCGTACGAAGTCTGGTTCCACAATGTTTACACACAAAACATATTTATAGTTTTTAATATCAATTACCACCTAGGTAGGTATACTTGCAAGTCTTTCTATTGCACCGCGGAGCATCACAACCTAAATATTCGAAAATATCGGGTTTACACTCAAAAATTTCAAAAATCAGAATTTGAATATATGTAAAATTTAAAAAAAAAACACCTTGTATATATTGAAGTAATAATATTGGCAATTTGTCATGGTTGTAGATAGATAGTTTAATGAGAAATCAACAACATACATCGATATAAAGGTTATAACGACTAAGTTGTATTACATAAAACATAATACATAATACAAAAATGAGGTTAGGTTACACATTGATAACACTATTATTTTAAATATGTTATATGCTCCCTTTTTTTTTTTTTTTACAATGAAAATAATTTAATAAATTAGGTATTATAATAGGTGCACAATAATAACATAGTAACAAAGTAAACATTTTTTTTTAAATTATTTCTCTAAATAATAAAACATTATTTTAAATAATATTACCTAGTGCAGTAACTCAACATCAACAACAAAACAAAGATTTCATTATATTTTTTACTGTTAAGTATTAATAATATAAATAACCATTTTTCCTGTTAACACTACCACTAAATGTTACCATTAGATCAATCTTTGTAGGAGTTTCACTTTGTACTATCAATTCTATTTCATTCATCTACCTCCTCCTTACTTGTCTACTTGTACATCTGAATCTCTTGCCATCATTGCTGACCAACCAGTACAACCTTGGAGTTTTTCCTCTTTTTTCGATTACCCTCTGGAATCCACAACTGGTTCTTAAGGAACAGTTTGTATTGTACAAGTATGAACGCTATTTCACTAACAGTTTGTTTATTATAGTAATTTATCTGTTTTTTTTTCTTTGCTTTCATTATTTTTATCTCAGTCGCGTTTATCGCCTTTTTTAGAAGATCATTCGTATGCATGGGAAGTTTGTTCTTTAATTTCCTTGACATTAGTATTTGCGCTTGAGATAGGCCAATACTTTACATTGGAGTATTTCTGTGATTCAATAGGGACACCTATAGTGTCAACCCGTCATTATCACTTCTTTTAAATATTTTTTTAGCACAAGCCTACATATTTCTCTGCTAGGGCGTTAGATTGAGGATAATTGGGATTAGTTGAGATTACTTCAAAATTCCATTTTCTGCCAAACTCACTAAGTTCACAACTACTAAAGGGTTCGTTGTATTAGTATATCGGGCGATCAAAACCTAGAAAATACAGTCTGTAGGTTTTTTTTATTATACACTTGGAACTCTTGTTATTTAAATATAACAATTCAACCCAGTTTATAAATTAGTCAGATATTATCAAAAATGATTTTTAATTGTATTCTAATATATCTATCGTTAACTTTTCCCATGGTTTACTCGGCAGGGGGTGTGAATGCATTTGCTCTTTTGTCTTAGCATATTTTAAACGAGCACACACTTTACATACCTCTACTACTTTTTCTATATCTATATTCATATTTTTTCAATATAGCACTTCTCTGGCTCTTGCTTTACACTTTTTAATGTTTCTCATGTATTAATTTAAGTATATCTTTCTGTAAGGTCTCTGGGACAACTACTTTTGTATTAAGAAACAATAAACCATCGATTGTTACTAACTCTTCTCTCAAATTCCAATAAAACCTTGTACTACTTTGATTTGTTTTCGGATCACCCTTTTTCACACAACTCCATTACTGCTTTTAACACCTCAATCTTTTTTAGTCTCTTTTTTAAAATTCTGTTTTTTGTTTTCAGACATTTCCAAATTTGTTACTACTTCACGAATAACCAATTCTACTTCTTTATCACCATCATCTGGACTTATTATATAATAAGTAGACAGTGTGTCTGCTATGTACAAGTGTTTACCTGGGGTGTATACTATATTTAAGTCATACTTAAATAGTCATAATCTCATCTTTTGAAGTCACATAGTTATTTTATATAGATCTTTTATAAAAAATACTTTCTAACGGTTTATGATCCGAGTGCGAAGGCATAATTGTTTATCTCCCTTAAATAAACTGATGAATTTTTCACAAGAAAAAGAAATCCAGCATCTAATTTTCTATTTGGGCATAACGTTGTTCAGTTTTACTCAAAGTTATCGAAGCATATGAAATTAACTGCTCACCTAGTAAAAGTACACAGCCTAATCCATCTTTTGACACGTCTGTTTGCTTGTTGTTGTCTAATGTCTTCAACACCAGCGTACTAGACAATATGGTTTTTAATTTATTGATATTTTGACTATTTTCTTACAACCATTATTTTTTACATTAATCTGTGTTAGACTTCTCAATGATGTAGTCATTTTGCTCAGGTTAGGTATGAATTTCCCTAAATACCATACCATACCAAGGAACTTTAACAATTCTTTTTTATCTTTTAGAAAAGTTACTGTTTTTTGTTTGAACTAGAATTTTTCCTTATTAAACTTAGCGTTCAATTTTTTCGTTCTATTTAAGATTTTAATTAATGCCTCATCATGCTTTTCTTCTATTTTTCCTGCAATAATCTTGTAATAATATCAGCAAATGATTCATTAACATTCCTTTGAAACACCTCTGATGATATACCGAATGGTAATCTAAGAGAGCAGTACCATTCTACTGATGTAGATATAATTCTATTGTAGAATAACTATATTACACATAAATTAACTCAGAGAAAAAGTCACAAAAGACACACGACAACCATGCATGATTCTGTTAAAATAGTTTTTATATTTTAACAAAAGAACAAAAGTCATAATATACATTTTGAGGTTATTGGTACGAATAATATTATTATCAATAAAAATATAGAAAACAACACTTCCTCTTAATCTCAATTATAAAAAAATATATAAACATATTAAAATAAAAATTAAGTGTTATTCTAATCCAATCGCTTTTCTTAATTTTGAAAATGGAATGGCAGGTAGTGGTTTTGTTAGAATATCTGCCAGTTAATGATCTGTTTAAACATATGCTAATTTAATTTGATTTGTTGAGATTGCTTCATGAATAAAATTATATTTGGTATCCAGATGGTTCAATCGTTGATGTTTCTTTGGTTCATTTGCTATTCTGATGCAAGATTGATTATCTTCATGCAATAATATGTAATCTTTGTCTGTGATAATTCGCATCTCTACAAGAAGTCCTTTCAGCCACATTCCTTCTTGAATTGCAGATGCCAAAGCTAAATATTCTGCTTCAGTCGATGAAAAGGCTATAGTTGATTGTTTTCTAGTAAACCAACTGACTGTAAAATCAAAAACTTGATAAAGATATCCAGAAGTAGATTTTCGGTCATTAATATCGTTGGCAAAATCAGCATCAACAAAACCTTGAAGTGGATGTATGTTATTGTTCTTAATGTAGGTCATTCCAAAAGAAATAGTGTCCTTTAAATATCTTAATAATATTTTAAAGTGATTAAAATTATCGTCAGTGGCTTTAGATTGATGTCGGTTAAAATAATTGACTGCTGTTTTAAGATCCGGTCTGGTTTGAATCATCACATACATCAAACATCCCATAAGTTTATGATATGGTTTACTTGTTGATCCTTTTTTTTCAAATTTTAATTTCTTTTTCATTGGTGTTAATATTGGTTTACATTTATTCATACCAAATGTATGTAGTAGGTTTTCAAGATATTTTGTTTGACTCATTTTTAAAATATTATTATGTCATTCAATTTTAATACCTAAGAAAGATCTTGCATCTGTTAGCTTTATTAGAATTACTAGCCACCAGCACATCATCTACATACAATAATAAATACAAATTATTGTAATCATTCAATTTTACATACAATCATTGATCGGAATTGCTTCTTGTTAAACCTTGTTGACCTTGCTTCACCGAGATAACTTACTGCTAACAGCCCCTTACGCAAAACTATAAGTTTATCTTCTTGGTGTTTTGGCGATGCTTTTTTTTTTTTTTATGATAGTTGGTCTTTATACCGAGTTTTTATCGGAATCTTGACCAAAACTAAATCAAAATCCTAAATCAGGCTCTGTATACCATTCTGATTTCACGTGCGATAACGTTTTGCTGAACGCAGGTGTTTTTTTTTTTTTATTTTTCCGACATTCCGAATTTAAAAGCTCTCCTTTACTTCCTCCTGATCCCCACTTAACACATACTGCCCCCTATAGGGACTGAAATTCCCTCTAGAGGGACTGAAATGCCCCCTGAGGGGGACTGAAATGCCCCCTGGGGGGCGGTACCGCCCAAATTAAAAACCACTGGTTTAGTCGGTGCAAATCTGTGTAACGACCAAACTGTAGACCATTTAACTTAAACAATTTGAGCATGGATATAGTATCTTATTGCTATCAAGATCAAGAGGAACAAGGTTCAATTTCATAATAGTTTCAATTCAAGTGTTTTAATTTTTTTATTTTTATTTTTTATCGCATATAAAGCGATTTTTTATTAAATATATATTTACACATTTCGGTTTTTTTTAATGCATATAAATCAGAGCCCTATTCATTATGGTTCGAGAATATTCGGGCAACACACGATGCGATCATGGGTTTTTAACCTTTTAACGAAATTATCGTTGATCTAAATATATCAATATTTACCTCATGTTTCCCCTGTTAAGTCCTTGCACCTCTCAAGGGAGAAGCACCTCACAGTTTGAGAACCACTGACATAGCGAATGGAATAGTCTCAAATATTACTCATCCAAGTGAAATATTTAAAAAAAGGATAAAGTTCATCAATTTATACCAATAAAAATAATCGAATCTCCTTAGTATAGCCATCTATAATTTTTCCAAATTTTTCTACAACAAATTATAGATTAAAATTTACATACAGTTCATTTATATCAACATTTACATAGGTAATTAAATATATAGAAGCATAACAATAATAGGGTAATGGAATCTAGCAATAGCAAAACACTGCCGGGACAGTTAGTACTATATAGTTTACTTAGATATTTCTTTGTTAAATATTAAAATACTAAATTATTTTTGTAAATGTATAATATTCTGATTTTAGATTATCTTTCCTATAATATAGGGGCAACTATTTCTATAAGTAGGTACTAACTAATATTATCTTAATACCTAGCTGATAAAATGTAACATTTAAATTTTCCTATAGGTCATAGTTAACATAATTGACAATAATAGAAAACAAAACAAACGGATTATTAAATTATGTATGAAACACCTTACAGAAAATAACAAATGTGTAGATATAGAAATTAAAATCAAAAATTTAAAATCCAGCTCTACGTTTAGTATTGAGGAATATCAACAATTCACTGATAGACTAATGAAATTGGATCTAATGGAAGCAAAAGGGTGAGAAAAATCCGTATCTACCTATTCTACCAAAATTCTTTCACCGATTTTCCTTTTGGTTTTATTTATTTTGGATATTTACTGTTCATAATACATTTTGAACGGGTAAATACTATGAGTCCTTATATCCTTCAATCTTTGAAATTTGTAATTTTGTATATCAGAATATAAATCTACGTTTATAATTTAAAAAATCTATGTATACAAAGTTATTATTTTACTGTTGAACACTCATTAGTTTAGGTACTTTTCAAACGTCGCATAACTAATGTTCCACTAATATCAAACTTAAAAGTGAAATATCTTGTCAACGAATTAATAAATTAAATATTTCAAAGTCATAATTTATTAGAATAAATATTCCATCTATTTATAGAATTTCGAATGTACATTTAAAAGTCAAAGGTAGCTGTTTCAGTAGCTTGTTTCTTACATTTTGAAAAAGTGTTATTTTTAAAGTCAACAGTTTTTGAAATAATAAATGTTCAAGGATAAAATAATCACTTCGTATACATTTATTTAACTAACATTAAAGATATTACCTCTACATTTCAACAAAACTAAGTTGTGTTGTCTTATAACTGCAGTTACAAGTATTTAAATCGACTTACTAGTTAACTAGTATACTGTTATCGACTTATCAGTTTAATAACTGATTATTTTATTTTATTTTTACAGTAAACAAAAGCTTTCAGAAGTTCAGCATATAATCAGAAATACATTGGAAAGGAGTTCGAATATACCTGAACGATTTACCGAGTTAAATGAAATCAAACAAAATAAAGAAATTAAATTAGATCAGATTAAACACGTGGGTATTTATTTTTAGATTCCGAATATAGTGAGGATTTTACTATGATTTTTGTTTTTTGGTGCATGTTCACACATTTTCTACCATAAATCTTGCTACGATTATTAAGTGTATCTTTTCTTAAAGCATATTTTGTCTAGTTAATGCATTGATGAGGTCATTCTTTTGATTTTCCTTGCAGTGAAAAGATTTTCTTCGGTTTCTGATATTCTTGATTTTATTTTTTTTTTTAAATGTAATTCCGATAAATAATCGCAAAGATTTGAAATTTTTACCAAATACTTATAAATTATTCCTTTCTAGTCATAGTAAAGTTTAAAATACATAAGTAAATTTATAGCTATTTAAAGCAATTTTAAATTATTGAGTTTTAGTTTTCAAGTAGTTTTTTGTGGATATAATTTTTTAGCACAGCATAAATAATGGAACGCGAGGTTTATAAATATTTTAAATTGTAAATTTCGATGAAATCCGTAATAAACATTGTATTTAAAAAAAAACTGAACTTCGGTTAGAATCGTTTTCGATAATGACTTATACATTTAATAACTCTAAATATCCTATCTTTCAAAGTTTCTATTAACAACAGAACATCTGTTAGCAATATCAGCTCTTTTCTCTTCCTCTCCCTTTATTTACATTTATTTTTTAGATGGTTAATTTTTAAGATTATCTGATCTGCTGAAATCTAAATTTTTATATATAGGTATGCTAATCCGAAAATTATGTTTTTTTAAATAATTACCAACACTAGGAGAATCCAAAGGGCTTCTGTAGGAATTATTTGTAATAATTAAATTTGAACACCATTTTATTAACACGAAGTAAATTTAAAAAAAAAGTGCTAATACTGAGGACAGGTGTGCCACTGTTGTAGGTGGAAAGTTGGGAAGATATATTAAGTTATTTAATTTATATCCGTAAGCAATAAACCATTATTAACAAAAAACGATTTGGAGCGAAATTTGGTTGTATATGCATTGAAAGGTCGTAATATTAACGATTTTTGTTAAAATTTGATATTAAAATTCTTATCTTATACATTAAATTCAATTTTTTTTTTTTATTTTTATTACAAAGAACGACTTATAATGAACCTCTTGTTGAACTTACAAGCATTTCTATTTTAACAGAGTTCCTGTGAAACCTTTTTTTTTATTTTTTTTTTTTGTGGGGGGGGGTGCAAAACAACCATAACAGGTTACATTGTTTGTAATATTGTTATAAGTAGGTTGGGTTAAGTTAGGTAACCTAACCTTAAAAATTAATTATAAAACAAAATCTAATTTTTGTTTTTTACTGGCAGCAAATAAATCAATCACTTCGTCAACTTGAACTGTTCTATATCTGATGGATATTAAGCAAAGCTAACTCAACTAAGCGTTCTTTACTTATTTCAACAACAACAAAGTTTTTAATCTAAGTTTAAAAATACAAAGCAATACAAATGAATATAAATATCCATGCATGATTGAAAAGTATATAACTAAATCTACAAAAGTTATAATAATAATAAATTTCGAAGTTTGAACCACTGATGAAAAAATCAATACTTAAAAACGTAGATATAATATTAAGTAAAGATAACGTCCACATTTAACTATTGTGATGTATCTACATTATAATATAGTAATCACATGTGACCATGACCCCTAATCCCAATTCAATAAACTTTTGACATTTATAATATTGCATTGATAAGTGATATTAAAAAACCAATTATCCGATTATAATCAGTGGGAAATTTGAAGTATACATTAAAGCTCGAAAATAAATATGAATCATGTCATTAAAAATTGTTTCAGAGGAAGGGAGGACAAATGCCCTTGTTTCCCCCCTTAGGTACGCCACTGTTCTGTTTAGCCTAACAATTTTATCCATAAAGTACTTACCGATTAAAAATTACGTAAATAGTTTGTAAAATTTAATTGTATATAAATAGTTCAAATGTTTTGAAAATTTTACCACGTCGAGAAAAGGAAAATATAATTAATTTGACCACAATATTCTTAACGAAATCGTAACAAAAAAACAAAATTGAAAATATAAAAACATCATTTTCGTAAATTTCCTCGTTCTTTCTACGTTTATTTTTCGGTTTTGTTCAATTATTAAAAAAAAAAAAAAAAATACGAAAAATCGAAAAACAACTTTCTTACTCACCAACTAGATTGAAAATTCAACAAGAAAAGTCTTTTGTTGCTTTTTCTACTGATACAATATTTCCGGTAGAAAACATAAGCCGTAAAAAATTAAAATAAAGGAATCGTGACGCTAAAAATTTATCAGTTTTAATTTTTTGTCTTTATAGTTTTTTCCAATTATTATGAAAACTATTCGGAAAATGGAAAAAAAAACGACTTCTTTTGTGATCAACTAGATCCTGAATTCAACGAAAAACGTATCTTGTTATTTTTTTGATTGCAGGAAGATTTCTAGTAGACAACTTAAGTTACAAAAATATAAAAACATGAAATCATTATGCCGTAAATATTTGTGCGTTTATCTCTACATTTTTATCCAGGTTTTCCCAATTATTATGAAAATCACTTGAAAAATTAAAAAAATGACCCACGTAAAATTTACTTTCAGGAAAAGTGCTACACTTGATGGACCAAGGCAAGATTTTTGATAGACATTTTGTACATAGTAATAAAAAAATAAAAATATAAAACAAACATCATTGTAAAACCAACACCGGGCAACACATTCTTTGCTACACTCTGAATCTAAAATCGTAAATTTAATATTAATATATATAGTATAGGTACCAACATTTTAACACCAAAAATAATGACATAATATAAAGTTAAATTTGACTATAATTTTTTTTGAATTTAGCCTGTGTATACATAGTGTCTAATGTGTTCTATAACTACCCGATTTCAAAGTCCGTTGGATACAAATAAATGAAATAGTTCCTGGGCAAATAATTATTAAGGTTCAAATTTACTGTCACATCAATGTTGAAATATTATAGTACTTGTATTTTAATTATTATTTTATTTTAAAGTCAGTAGTTCAAAAATCAGAATAATGCCGATATATTATACAATATAATATGCTTATATATACCTAATATCTGCTCTTTAAATTAATATATTTATTTTATAATGATAAAAAATATTATTGAAAATAGCAATGGAGAAGTAATGTCATGAAAAAGTTGCAAAAACAGACAGTTGTGAACTTACGGAAAAACTCTAATCGGTTAGACTATTTTACCGAAAATCCACTTTTACTCAAAGACTATGAAGAGAATGCCGAAAAAGTTAAAAATAACGAAATATACGAGATGAAGTTGCGTCAGAACTTGGCGAAAAGTAAGGCTACGGTAAACTGCCTAAAAGAAAAAATCGAAGTCATAAAAATGAAAACGTCGTAAAAGTGAACATAATATTATGATATCTACTATAGAAATTTATTTACTTAATTTTCGTTTGTATACAAAGACTTTTAAAAACCTATCACAAAATGGTTTCTCTCTCAAGTCAAGAATTATTTTATACAAATGTTTACGTATTGAAACCTATAAAGAGTACTCTTTACTCTTTTGTGTATATTTTCGTATCGCTTTTTCATATATGTATTTTTTTTTTTTTTTACCAATTATAAACATATGCACAATTATAAAAATATATTAGTTCTTGTATTTTTATTAAAATATAATACGATTACGATTACCTAAAAAGACAATATTATAATTTTAGATTATAAGTGGAGCGAATAATGTATTGGTTTTAAAAAGATTTTTTTTCAGGGGAATACTTTTTTTACTAGAGACCATAATCCGATGTATACGGTATAAACCCTTTTATGAAAGGAAATTTTCTTAGGGTAGGGATCATTATTATTATTATATAATATATATAATATATATTATCATTATTTGTCTGTGATGATTTTCGGTTATATTTATCACACATTTTTTGAAATTAACAATGGGCGCTGGGCAGTACTTAATAATCGAATGAAATATTTTTTGAATTGGTGTTATTTTTATTGTAAGTATTTACTATTTTTATTTTCTCAGAAAAAAAAATGAGTGTTATGTAGTATTTTTTTTTCGTAAGAGATTTAAAATCAAATTTTGACAAAAATCGTAAATATTACGGCCTTTAAAACACTTAGTTTTCTTTTATTTGTTATTTTAAACTAAATAACTAAAAATAATAAATAAATATAACACAATTTATTTTGAAATTTTCGAAATTTATGAAATAAAATCTATTAGAGTATTTGCATTTCATTTCTCGAAAGGAAAAGGTAGAAGGACAATTCAAAAGTAAAATCAAATTTATAAAATCTCAAATTATATTATTATTGTAAGTTTAATTGTTAATTACTTATTACTAAAATATTATTGTATGTTAATATTATTACTTATTAATATCTTAATATAACCATAATATATGATATATCTTAATTGTATTATTTAGTTTTTAAAACTTTATTACATGCCTGACAAATAACTTAATAACTTAAAATGGTTAATACATTTTAACATTAATACATATTCAAAATCATTCACTTAATTTTGTCTTATTGTTTTTTTGTTATAACAGAACCACTGCTGCTAAAACCACGTTCAACAATAGCACTGCTGGGTAGCGGTGTTGAATTTAATAAGTGTTTTTTTTATGGTTGGTGTATCATTTAAGAAACTCAAGTGTTTTTTGATACTTTAAGATAGATTATTATTATACATTTTAATATGCAATTGTTTCACAATTTTCTTGCAGAAAGAAAAATATTCTAAAATGAGTGACCAAAAAGTATAAAAAACTTTATAAAAATATTCAGAATATTTAAAAATTATTCAGAATACCCAATTCGGAATACTTACCCATATCTGAATATTGGTCGGTGGTTCTTTTCAGACTTAATGATCAATTATAGCCTTGTAGATACTAGGAGTAAAAACGTTTCATTGTATAAAATGAGTAGTGCATACGAATAATATATTATTGTATTAATTAGGTATAATTATTTATTGGTAAACCAGGCATCAACTATCGAAATATGCCACATTATATTGCTTATTTCTAAAGCCGTTTATTTAAATTGTTCAATAATAACGTGATACATCAATACGAATTTATAAGAATAAATACAAGATTATATTGTTGGACAGCCTGTCTTACGTGAATCCAAAGTTGTAGCGGTAGATGCAACCCCCGCCACCCTATAGTCATATTTTAGACTATTAAAAATTCCACTAAACAATAAAAAAGCGGTGATTTTATTTTTTGTGTACATTTTAAAAACAATATTATTTTATAGTTTTGTACTACTTTACACACCTATATTAATATTGTGATAAGTCGGCATCGTTGCCATACATTCACGTGTAGGTATTTGCCGTTTATAATTTTTGAGGAAACCCTGAATGAAGTGAGCTAACTTGTTTTTCCAAAAGTGGATGGGTATTTCGGTAGCTAACATTTTGCTCCCATGTTATTCGAAATGGTTTGAGCCTTTGATACCAATACATTTTTATAGGTAACTATTACCTATACGTATATTTGTAATGAAAAAACACAAAAAAATGTTGGACAGCTGCTTATGTCACTAAGCATTGTTTGTACATATTTCGTTATTGCAGTTGTTTCTATACGTGTGTAAATAAATCATTATAGTATAACAGATAGGTAAGCCATCATTCTAATATATAAAATGACATACTGTCATAAAACTCTCCACTCGGAATATCCGATTCAAATATTATGTAAGCAGTCACCGTATTAAATATGTCTCTGAATTTGTGCATTATCTTTATAATGCATATTAACGTAATAATTTACCAACTACCTAAATCATACGGACGTGTAATCGAGGTTAGTAAATATTGACAAGAACATAAATTATTCATAATATTTTAATTTTAGATTTTAAATGCAGCGAAGGTATCTATTAGTTTTAATAATAGATATTATGTTCACTTGCTACTAGCATTTGGCGAAGTCTATAAGTAGATGGAAAATTTAGTTGGTTTAGTGGCGTATTTGAGGGGGGGGGGAGGCAATAGGTGAATCGCCTCCTCCTTGGAAATTTTTGGCTGTGATTTTTTAATCACGGTGATAGGCTTTAGACAATAAAATAATAAATTATTTATAACCGTGTTATTTATTATTCCATTAATATAAGTGATGGAAATATTTTAATTTTAAACATCATTAATTTAATTAAAAATTTAATATAATAATTGAAATTTCAGTTTTTGGAAGAAAAATTTAGCCCGCAGGACGGACAGCTGCCAACCCTGCTCCCTCCCCTGCGCGCATGCCTATGGCGTTACCAAAAAGTAGTGATAATGATATAACTAGGGTAGTTTTTTATCCATAATACATATATAAAGATATCGATGTGGATGACCAAACAGTAATTACCCTAGATGGGTCTGTAGGAGAAATAAAGATTAAAATTATTTTAAAATTGTTGTAGATATTTTTGAGTGTGATTGTTCGATACGAATATATTATAATGTATACATATTATGTATATTATATTACGGCCGTTACGAGTAAACGCCGAAATCTAGCAAATTTCAGAAATGCCCGGACAAATCTATATAGTATATAGTGACCAACATCATTTAGGCAAAACTGTAAACCGATTTCCGTTTTTGATCGATATATATATTATATATATACATCATTTTTTATATATATATTATTAATTATAGTTTATACCTATAAACTATTTTTTTTGAATTGCCACGGAGAGGAATTTTAAAATAAATAATAACTGTTACTTTTTTTCTCACATAGAGAGAAAACCTCTCGTGATATTTTGTGTTGTGTTACAATTTTTAAACCGCCTCCTCCTTGATAGAGCTCCAGATAAGTTACTGAGTGGGTTACATATTATAATATTGCAAGAGCTTCCAATGCATTTTTTAGTATTTTTGCACCAACAAACTTTTGCATCCATGTTAATACTTCTCCAATTACTATCTGACTATGTCACTGTATGTATACAGACATAGAGTAGAACTTTGATTATTCGAACTAATTAATATGAAGGATGGTCCACATTAAAAGTTATACGTATGGTATGTATAGACAACAGGTATATATATACTAGACGATTCCTCTGGCTTCACTCGAGTTACCTAATCATTTTTTTAGAACAAATAAACATCTTGAAATTTAAATTTATAAAAAGATTTTATTAAGAAATATGAAAATTTTGAGTTTAGGTGGAAAAACAATTTAACACAAATACTGAGAGTAATTTTTCATTTGAAATTCATGTTTATATTGAAATATTATTATTGTTATTATTATTTGAGCTTTTATTGAAATATTCAAGAATTATCATTTGAAGCTAGAAAAAACATTCAACACTGACACTGGTAGAAGTTCTATGAATTATAAACTGAAAATTAATAAACAATCAATATTTTAATGCTTTAAAGGAAAAAATATGGGAAAAATACCATTATGAAATAAAATCAGAAATATTTTCTAGACTTTTATTGTGTTGCTCGTCTGGATAATTGGACTTCCGATTGACTGGCATTCGGATAATCGAAGTTCTATTATATACCTATATATTATTATGATATAGTGGGTTTAATCTTAAATTTTAAAACCTAAAACTTAAGTCTATTTATTTAATTTATAATTTTAAAAAATTACATAAATTATATTATAATATTTATATCTATACTATTTATTAAATGGGTTCCGTGGTTCAATCGATTATTATTGGATTTGTCATACTTTTATAGACTGATAAGCGGAAGTAAGTAGTATAGTATAGTAATTAGTAGTCCAATTTTAATTTTTTTAAAAAAGTAATTTTAGTTTGCTAGTGAATTTTGTATTATTTACGGACTAGAATCGATTAACAATTAATACAGGTTAATGGTATAGTGTAACTAGAACAGTAATACGATAAAACAATTTAATTTAATGAAAAGAGAACGAAGGATCAAAGTTTGCTGAACGAGGGAAACGAAACATGGGAGTATTAGCCATTAATAAATAATAAAGAAGTTGGTAGGTATGTGAGGAATGTGAAAGAGAATAGAGAAATGGGTATGATGAGGAAGAAATGTATTTCATTGAATAAAGAAGGGGAACCGATTTTATTGAGATAGACATTTGGAAATAAAGCGATCGTATATTTGTACGTAAAGATTAACCGTTGCTAACGAAAAACGATTCTGAGTGGAGTTCGGTTAATAGTGTTGTTTTGTGAACAATGTATATGTCACATTATGGTAAAATAATTACCATGCGATAGATATTTTCTTTAAAAAATATTTGTTTTCTCGTTTTTCCTACGTTTTTATCGGTTTTTCCCATGTTTTATCTCATTTATTGGAAAAACTCTTGAGAAAATCAAAAAATGGCCTCTCTAAAGTACTATCCCAGTCAGATATCATTGTAAATTGGAGCTAAATTGCTGTAGAAAAGGTGTTCACAGAAAAAAAAAAATTTGAACAATAAAATATGAATGAGGTATCTATAAAATAAATAAATCCCTAAGGATGGTATAAGTTGTTTGGTATAAACTAATGATATTGACGATATTACGCCTATGCGGTTTATAGCTTTATCTAAATCAATTTTATCTTGTCCGTCATAAGATAGCAACACCATATGTTCTAATTTTATATCACTTGTTGTGATAAATGCAGTTTTTTAAATTTAATTTTTGAAAATTTAAGCTCAGCTGAACCAAAACCAATAGACAACGTGTATAAGGCTTTTAACCCTAAAAATACATATTTTAAGAGAGGTAAAACGTAAATGCAATCCACTCAACTTCGTAAATAGTTGATAAATCGACTGTGGTACAAACATATCTTCATCGCCAATTTCACTATTGGTATCAGAATTTGAGATATTTTTTTCATAATTAGCATTTGAATGAAACATACCTGGAAATTCTGAAGTAGAAATTAGGTTTGGACCTAGTTGTAGGTACCCATCATTAATTTAATAATACTACTAAATCTATGAACTACATATAATTATAATTTATGCAGGTTACATATTTATATACGTAATGCCTATGCCATTATTGTTCACCACGCCACTGTACATATACGACTGCTCCTAGTAATCTTATAACAAACCGCCTCTAACGCTCAATGACACATTGGCGAATAAAGAGTTAAAGTTCTAGAGGACTAAATCGTATTCTAAAATCCAGGGTATGACGAATAATATCAAAGAAGAGGAATTTGAGTTAGATAATAAGGGGAAAAGCTTGGGAGATGTCATTTATGAATTCAAGTAGTTTGAGGGATTTTTAACAAGCACCTTCGATGTGCGAGTTTCTTCAACTTATTAGTAAATAAGTAGTTGTGAAAGACGCTATTAAAAACACAAAAACTTAAATAGGCGATATATCGAAACCTGCTAAATAAAACAAAATTAATTACATTTTTTTTTTTTACTGAAATCATGATGAAATACAGTAATAATATATATAATATTGATTTTGATGCTTCAGCAGGGATACAGCATAACGACGTTAGAGAAAATATTGACACCGGCTGAACGCGAAAATTACCTGGAAACTGGAATTCTTCCGTCGCGACTAACGACTGAATCTTATGCTTCTGGTGTCACTATTGGTGGACTGCCGGGGACGAATGTAAGACGGCAGCGGAGAAAAAATACTCGTAATGGGGGTTACAGAGTGATTCCACGGTGGAGGTATTTTATGGAAAAGCTGTTATCCAATTTCGGTACGATTCCGGAGCTTAACACCATTACTTCGTTACTGGGCAATCGGAAAGGCGCCGACGCTCAAAGGAAACGTTTCGAAGATGACCAGGTTGCAGATAACGCTAAAGATAGCACAAGAGCTGATGGGACGGCTTACCAAACCATTTTAAACGCAGCAAACAGCGATTTGGGTCAACAGGCAATTAAAACGGGCGTGGGCTTTTTACCAGCAGGAGGGGCACTCGTGAAAGCATACGAACACGGATCGAAAATAAATGAGGCAATCACTGGAGCGGTCAGTTTGGCGTCTCAAAAAAAAAGCGAAGGCGATAAAAAGAACACTGGTTCTACATACCAAAATCTCAAAGATCTGGCGACCAGCGAAGCCGGCACGGCTGCCATAAAGATGGGAGTGGGGCTTTTACCTGGCGGTGGGCCTGCCGTACAGGCGTACGAAAACGGTACAAAATTACAGTCCGTGCTCACCCAAATCGGGGGTTTAGGAAAAAAAAGCAAGCAGTAGTATATATAATATATATGTATATATATATATGTAGATATTTAGTACATTTAAATACATATTTTTAATTAATATTATAATGTCAAAATATTTTAATGAATTAAACAATATTAGTTGATGTAAAACCACGATGGCTTTAAATAAAATAAGGAGGAAGCCCTTGAGGGGACAACATATTCTACTGGGACGATATATTAGTAATTACTAACATATAATATGCTATTAATTAATAGCATATTATACTGAGATGACCAACTATGGCAACTTGTTATGATCAAGAAAAATAGTTATACACCTAATCTTATTCATGTTTACAAAAATACTGCTATGCTCAATCCTGTACTACTCATTAATAATATTAGTGTATTTTTAAATTTTTATAGAATTATTTTATGCTAACAGTCTTCAAAATGTTATATTATAGTCAAATTTATATGAAATACTTATACATTTTTTTTCAAAAATGACTCATGTAAAAATAGTTTGGAAATATGTATTTTAAAATGTTCCATTGTTCTTATTTTGTTCACCCTTATTTTTAGGAATGAAAAAAATATATATTAATTTTGATCTTCAAATTGCAACATGTATTAAACATTCCATAATTAGATTAAGTATTAGTTAAAGTACATTTTGAATTTCCATCAACCCATTGGAAAAATGAGTTAAGAAAACCATCACGATTAAATATTTAGACTTTCTCACGAAAGAAAAATTAAATATGAATACTGATACTTCTATAAAAAAAAAACACTTATCATTTTATTTAAAAAATTAATAAAATTAATATTGAGCCAGATTCAAAATGGTTTTTCTTTTTGTCAACAATTTATATACGTCCATTCCTAAACAACTATTTCTTAACAAAACTATTTGTTTTTAAGTTTTCAAAAAAAAATTTCCTGAAAAAAGTTATTACTTTCTGAGACAATGAGTATTTTCAGTTAAGTGAATCCTGTATGTAGAAATATGTGCAATTTGTATATAAATTATGTACATACTAAGAAAAAAAAACACTGAATGGAGAAAAATCAAAATAAAGTTTACTTCATTGAAATCAGACTGATTCAAAATGTATTTATATGTATGAATTAATTTTAACTGAAATCCCTTCAAAAGTAGTAATTGCTATAAAGTATATACAGAAGTATGAACAGTTATAGATTTACAAGAGAAGAAAAAAATTTAAATTAGCTTTTATTTAATTTCATGTCCTTGTTTATTTTAGAATGCCACCAATAACTCGACATCAGTCAAAAAAATCCACTTTTAAGCCTGAACCATATTCAAAAAAGAACCGTCCAACAGAAAAAAGAAGTGCATTACAAAACTTAGTTGGAAATAATGTTAGTGAATTTTATTATTTATATCAAAACCACATTGTTTGGTTTACAACTGTATTTAGTTTTAAATAGTAAATTAAAATATCTTATTTCAGGGTATCAAAGTTATTGCCAGTACAATCAAAACAGATATTAAAAAACCTGACAGTAGTATTATTAAAAATGACAATATTACGAAGACTGAAAACACGAATAGGCTTTCTCAGTCAAAAAGTGAAATTTCTAAACCAGTTGATACTAAAACTCCAGAGTATAATTTGATTTATTCATTTGCTTTTTTAAAAATAAATTTGATTACTTTTGTTATAGAATCATCCATCCTTCCATTAATAATACAAAAGAGATTACATTATACCATTCAATAATTGAAGAACAAACCAGTTCTAAAGATTCTCAAACAACTGAAGAATTATATGAAACTGCAGTTGAAAAAACTCAAAGATAGTCTCTTGAAAAAAAAAAAAAAAAAAAATATTTGATTCAAACAACATAATGTGTAGAGTGCAGTAAATTTTAACATCTAAATAGGTGTTAGTCTTCATCAAATAAAGTATTAATGTTAATGAGGGTTTAATAATAAAATAGTAAACTACATATAGATAAAATTGTTAAATTACATTTCAATACTGAATTAAAATATTAATATAAATAAAAAAAATATATACATTTATAAAAAACATATTTATCAAATCAATAATTTATTTTACACAAAAAAAAAAAAATATTTGANATGACTGATTACATTTAAAAGAAAGATACTGCAAAGTATATACAAAAGTATGAACAGTTATAGATTTACAAGAGAAGAAAAAAATTTAAATTAGCTTTTATTTAATTTCATGTCCTTGTTTATTTTAGAATGCCACCAATAACTCGACATCAGTCAAAAAAATCCACTTTTAAGCCTGAACCATATTCAAAAGAGAACCGTCCAACAGAAAAAAGAAGTGCATTACAAAACTTAGTTGGAAATAATGTTAGTGAATTTTATTATTTATATCAAAACCACATTATTTGGTTTACAACTGTATTTAGTTTTAAATAGTAAATTAAAATATCTTATTTCAGGGTATCAAAGTTATTGCCAGTACAATCAAAACAGATATTAAAAAATCTGACAGTAGTATTTTTAAAAATGACAATATTACGAAAACTGAAAACACGAATAGGCTTTCTCAGTCAAAAAGTGAAATTTCTAAACCAGTTGATACTAAAACTCCAGAGTATAATTTGATTTATTCATTTGCTTTTTTAAAAATAAATTTGATTACTTTTGTTATAGAATCATCCATCCTTCCATTAATAATACAAAAGAGATTACATTATACCATTCAATAATTGAAGAACAAACCAGTTCTAAAGATTCTCAAACAACTGAAGAATTATATGAAACTGCAGTTGAAAAAACTCAAAGATAGTCTCTTGAAAATAATACTTATGAATTATAACATTCTACTGTATCATCAAGATAGAACTATAGATATAACTTTCCTAAGAAATCAACTCACCTTTTAACAATATAATTGGTTTTTTTTTTTATAAAAAAAATAATATAATAATTGTAATGTCTTTCTTCAGTTTAAAAAGCATTTTTATTATACATAGTTTTTATGAGTTTTCTAAATATTTTAAGAGCATTGTTCAAGTTTGCATTAGGTCTTACCCACCAATAAAGTACATGAGCTGTTACCAAAATTATGAGTAAAATATTAATCATGCTGTTATTCATGAAAATTTAACAATTCTATTCAAAATAAAAAAAATCAGTATTAAGTATTCAGTAGTAAAGTACAAATACTAATTTTATACCCCAATTTTATACTTTTATAGGATATATCTTCAAAAATTATGCATGGTAATGGTGGTAGTAAAAACAATTAACTACTCTCTCTTCTTGTTTCAAACATAAACTTATTTATACCATATTTTTTTATTGTCATTATAAAGAATTAGTTCATTATTTTTACAATGTCTGAAATTTTTCAATTGGATGGAAAATTTGCATTAATCTATCATTCAAACAAATAAATCAGAGTATTTTCATTATCCAAGTGTAATCTGAGAAATAAATATCAGTTATGTTTTAATAAGTATAGACTAGACTCAGAATCTAAAATCTAAAAACAATAAATAAATATACATTTTTTTATACATTTCCTATTTCATATAATATGGAGCAAATGAATTTTTGGTTTTTTTTTTTTTTTTAAATTGATTAAAACCACATATCCTTTAAAAAAAATAAATATATATATAAATGTATAACAAATCAATAGTTTATTAAAAAATATTCGATACACACTACACATTATGTAGTGTGCAGTAAATTTTAACATCTAAATAGGTGTGAGTGTTCATTAAATAAAGTATTAATGTTAATGAGGGTTTAATAATAAAATAGTAAACTACATATAGATAAAATTGTTAAATTACATTTCAAGACTGAATAAAAGTATAATAATATGAATAAAAAAAAATATATACATTCATGAGGCTTACTTCATAACCAACTTGGAAGATCATATATGATGTTAGGAATTACATTTTAACATAAGTATTTAATATAATCCATAAACACAATGAAATAATCATAAACTTTCCATTGCATTTAAACTAGTTAAATACAATTTTATTGGTACCATGGCTATTCTTTAGAATTTTAGTTGAGGTTTGTAGTGTAGACAACCATTTTTGTAAACAGTGATGTTCAATGAGTTTACATCATTTATCTTGTGAATATGGAAAAATATAATTTTTGTGGCTAAACATTCAACTGAAAACAATATGGATGTGTTTGATCCAGTCTTTTTGAACTTATAATCCTTGAGGTTTTGGTTATTGGGGTCCATTGTTTGTGCATAATTCACACATGTGGTGAGATCCAAATTGTCTGTAGGCACAGATACTTGGTAGGCGTCAAGGGATTGAATGCCATTATTTTCATGTTTTACCAAATGTTTATTATAATCTGGTTTTAATATAAAAGCGTGGTAGGCATCTCTAAAACTTTCAATGTTATCAGAAGATTCTTTTATACTATGCAACACATATTGATTCATACAACAATCTTTCAACATGTATTGAATGCGAAATTCTCTTTTGATTTTATATAATTCAAAATTGCTCATTAGTTCAACACATTCATTGAATTTAACATTTAGAGCAGTTGCTTTTTTCATTATGTAATCAATAGAAAATTTTATCAACAAACAGTCAATGTTAATTTGTGATTTATGCAGAAGGTCTAGCATATTTTGACCATACAAAACTATTCTTACACTTCTTTCTTCATTACATTCCAGTGAAGTATTATCAACAATATGTTCTAACAAATCATTTGCCTTTAATGAATTCCTTATATTAATGTAGGAATCTAAATGTTTTCGAAAATATTTATAGGCAAATAATATCCTTTCTTTGGTAAGGGTACTCATTATAAACTTTGCAATTTGACTCATAAATTCTTTAAAGTGTTTCTTTATACATCCAATACCTTGGAACCAAAGTTTATGCAAATGATATGGAAATGCTGAGACTTCTCTGAAGTATATTTCTGTAGTAACTTGATCTAAAGTTACCTAGAAAAAAAAGATGTATTAATTTAGACAGTCGCGTTTTAATTATTGAATGAGCAACATGTATGTTCCGCTCATGAGTGCTGAATTTACGTGTTCATTTAGTAATATACAAACTATACATATGTCTTCGCCTTCAACGGAAATGTCAAGTGACTTAATATAAATTATTTAGGTTACAAGCGTGTGGCGGCTCGGGCCGTCTCTCGGAATGTCTGTGACGGGTCAGGTTTTAGTTGACCACACAAGTTTACTAAAAATACAAGACAACGAAAAATTAACTAAGCTTGTGACTCAATTACAAGCGAGTAATGCACAACTATAGAGTGAATTACTAAACCTTCAAGCCATATTATTGAACCTAATAAAAATAAAAATCCAAATATTATGAATGAAGATAAAAAGTTGGGTAATAATTCAGATGTTATTAAAAGCGCTCCCCCAAAAAAATTAGATCAATAGAAAATATTCACGACAAAAAAACTAAAGTATATAAAACACCACCAATCACAGCTAGTGATGTAAAAAATATATAAAACCTGGTTAGTAGACTAACTTGTGAAGAAGTTTCTTGTCACAAACAGCAGGTTAATATCATAGATTTCACTTGAAAGGGGGAATAAAAAAATTTCGGGTTGTAATTCGTGGACTTCAACCAGAAACAGAATTATGTGAAATCAAAAGAGACCTAGCGGAAAAAGGTCATAATGCAAGCAATGTATGGAATATCCAAATAAAAAAGAAATCGAACGTAAAAGACAAAAATAGTAAATGAACAAGGATAAACCTACCATTGTTCTTCGTAGACTTAGTTTCACAAGACAATAATAAAGTTATATATAATCTGGATAATCTGTGTTATCATAAAATTAAAATAGAAGCACCTAGAAAGGGAAAAGAGATGCCGCAGTGTAAAAACTGTCAAGCGTTTGGGCATACTCAGAATTATTGTCATAAAATGTCTGTATGTGTGAAATGCGGCGAAAATCACAGAACAGAAGACTGTCAAAAGCACAAAAAATCAAAAGCGAAATGTGCTAATTGTGGTAAAACACACAATGCAAACTAGAAGGGTTGTTCTGAATACAAAAAGGCAGAAGAAAAAGCATATCTAAAAAAGGTATCTACAGTACAGCGAATTCAACAGAAACCAGCAAAAACTGTGACTCCATCCACTTCATATGGTGACTGGTTCTGCCGCAAATAACGCAACACCCAAAACGTTCAAGCACAGCAACAACAACCTAGCGAAAATGACTCTACGTTAGCGGAAATCTTATCTGCCTTAACTTACATTACCAAATCGTTAGTTAATGTCACATCTAGACTAGATAGATTAGAATGTAGTCAATCTAAGTCTAATAACAAAAGCCAGAAGAAAAAGAAATAAACCGCACACTGCGGATTGTAACATGGAACGCCAACGAGCTAGTACAGCGTAAATTATAACTTGATAATTAACTTGCCCTTATATCCGAAATACACTTCACATCGTGGACTGTTCTAAAAATACAAAACTACAAAATTTATACAACTTTACACCCGAGTGGTAGAGCACGCGTAGGTACAGCTGCAGTCATAAGAGAAACTATAAAACACTTCGAACTTGAAGAATATTCAGAATTGCACATACAAGCCACACATGTTTGTGCTAAAGATGAAAACAATGACCTCACGGTTACAGCTATTTATTGTCCACCCCAAGGAGGTTCAGATGAAACTAGATTCAATTCATTTTTCCAAATGGTAGGAGACAGGTTTATTGCTGATGGTGACTACAATGCCAAGTACCCTCACTTAGAGAGAGTACTTAGAGAGATCAAGACTGATCACTCCGAAAGGATGTGCTCTGCTAAAAGTAGCTAACAGTAAAACGCTGATATAATTTCTACCCAAGAGCCAACCTATTCTAGGAAAATCTCCGATCTACTCGATTTCTTCTAATTATGTTGAAGCTGAAGGACTAATAGAGCTAACGCCCAATCACATCCCTGTGTTATTATCGTTGAGTTCAAATATAATTATCAAAAAACAAAAAAATTTTCTAACAAACAAACATACAGACTGGGACCTTTTTAGAATTACTCTCGAAAAATCTATCTCTCTTATTGTGCGGCTAAAATCGTCAACTGACATTGAATTGTCAGTACAAAAACTGACTGATAATATTGTTAAAGTAGCAAAAACTTTAACACCGAAAGCTAACAAAGGCAACGACTGTCAGTTCATCTACCCGAAGGAAATCAGAGACCTTGTTCAACAAAAGCGGCGAGCAAGACGAATCTGGCACAGAACTCGGCACCCATCCGATAAATAAAACCGAATGGAACCGAATTGGCAAATTGCTACACGATAAAATCAAAGAAATGAAAAATGAAACGTTTAAATCATATTTGTGTGGCTTATCTGCAACAGAAGATTCCGATTACTCGTTATGGAAAGCAACAAGCCAATTAAAAAGACCTCGCGTCCATATATCACCAATCCGAAAGAAAGATGGAACTTAGGTGCACAGTGAACAGGATAAAGCTGAAGTATACGCACGACATATCGAACGTGTATTTCAGCCAAATGACATCGTTTCTGAATTTGACAGCACGCAATGCCAGCTACTTAGTTCTACAAGAGAATTCTTAAGGCACTTTACACCACTTGAAGTGGCTCATGAAATCGACACCAACATCAATACGAAAAAGGCACCTGGGTTCGATGAGATCAGCCCATATATCCTTAAAGAGCTATCTAAGAAGGCAATCGTCCATATTACCCACATTTACAACGCTATCTTGCGAACAGAATTCGTTCCCGAGCAATGGAAAAGAGCGGAGGTAATCATGTTGCTCAAACCCGAAAAACCACCTGAACAAGCCTCCTCCTATCGACCGATATCGCTTCTACCATGCATGTCAAAACTATTTGAAAAACTTCTTCTTAAGCGTCTCAACCCAATTATTGAAGCAAAGCAACTTATACCAGATCACCAGTTTGGATTTCGTATAAAACACTCGACTATCAGCCAAGTTCATCGCGTAACGAACGTAATCAGTAAGGCATTAGAAGAGAAAAATTATTGCTGTGGAGTATTCCTGGATGTAGCCCAGTCTTTGACAAAGTTTGGCACCAAGGCCTATTGTTAAAACTACGCGAGCAGCTTCTGTACACACCTCAAATCATATCTGACTGAAAGACATTTTCGCGTTAGATACGAAGGAACGATGACTAATTGGAAGACTATATCAGCTGGAGTACTTCAAGGTAGCGTTCTCGGACTTATTTTGTACCTACTCTATACAGCTAATATTCCAACTAACGACAATACAATGATAGCTATGTTCGCCGACGACACGGCAATACTATCAACAAGGAAGGACCAACAAGCTGCGACTGAGATCCTACAAACGACAATCAACACCGTACACAACTGGAGGAAACGATAGAAATAAAAATGAATGGAGATAAGTTGGTGCACGTTAACTCCGCCTTACGTAAAACCACATACATCCCAGTCATGCTAAATCAACAGATAATTCCGCAAAATAATTCAGCGAAATATCTGGGAATGCACCTTGACTCACAATTTAACTAGAAACATTATGTACACCAGAAAAAGTTGCAAATCACACAAAAAATGCACAAACTGTTCTGGTTAGTTGGACGACACTCCGATCTAGATTTAAGCAGCAAACGTCTCTTGTATATATCGATTGTTAAAGCGATTTGGATTTATGGTATTCAACTGTGGGGTTGTGTCATTAAGTCCAATATCGGCAAAATACAACGATGCCAGAGCATCACTCTTCATACAATTATCGCAGCATATCGGTATAATAAGAACGACATCATCCACCGCGATTTGAAAATGTCATCCGTGCAGGATGAAATTACCCAGTTTGCTCACAAATACGCAAGAAGACTAGAGCTTCATACAAATATAGCTGTCATATAACTCCTCGATAATTCGCAAAACATCAGACGACTCAAATGACTGATGCCATTTGACTTGGTCTAATTTTTAAATTAAGAATGGTGTTGTTGCTTCACTGGAAGTAAAACCTCACACACGTTTTGTATATATATATATATATATTGTATTGTATGTATTAATACTCCTTCTGATTTGTATTTATAATAACTCTTTTATTGTTCAAATAAAAATGCCTCTATGGCAATTAAAAAAAAAAAAAAAAAAAAAATTAATATAGACTTTGTTTTGAATAAATTTACTGTATCTCAAGAAACACTCAAGTTACAATCTCAGATAAAAGTTTTTTTTTTTTTTTTAAATCAAATTAATCCAATACATACAATTAGCTATTATTAATTTAATAGTATTTATATTGTGAGTTGATATCAATTTAAAAAACTATTCAACTTGCTTAAAAATTAAAACATCAAAAAAACCAATGTAGTATGTACAAATATAGACAATGTTTTTACATTTGTAACAAGAGGAAGGATTTGGTGATGGCAGTGATTATTTTTGTTAATATTTTAGACAAATTTATAATACCTACCTACTTTATATTTTTAATAAATATTATACATATAATGACATATAATAAGTTAACAATTTGTTTTGTATAAATACCAACTTTTATTTAATTCAAATTTTTTTTTTGTATAGGTACATACTACATAGATACATTAAAAATAACATATATTATTATTATATTAAACTAGGGATATACACTTACTAAAAGTAAGTTTATTTTATTTGGTCATCTGGTTTCTGGTTTTATAGTTTATTAATTAATTGCAGATAATTGAAGATAATTTATTAGGTACTAAATAAAATATGTACAGTAAAACGCCCATACAACGAAAGGGACCAGAAATAATGACTGCTATTTAGAAGTGCCTTATGAAGACATGACACTTGGCAGAACCAAAAAAATGACTATTATATAGAGGCTACCATTAGCAGAAGTTTTACTGTATAAACATTCCTTTTAAAATAAGAAGAAGTAACTAATTTTTTTTTTTAAATTTATACTTTTCTTCTAAGATTAATAATCTAAAGACCAATAATTGACATAACATTGAAAACATTTTCATAATGAATTACTAATAATAATAAATTAATTTGCTTAGTTTTTTTTAAATTTTGAATTGTTTATTTACTTAACTTACTACTAAAGCATAACTCAACAATTAATATGTTATTATATGTGAATTATGAATTGTCAAAACTTGTTCCAGAATGTAAGTACTTATCACATAAATTAAAATTTGAAATATTTACTTTACAAAAGACATCCTAGGATAATGGAGACAGGTACAGCCACTGTTATAGGTAATTTAATGTATATCTGTAAGCAACAATAAAATATTGTGTATGAAAAAACGATTCTAAACAGAGTTCAGTTGATAGTGATACTTTGTCAACAATATATATGTCATATTATGGTAAAATAATTAAATAGGCATGATATATTTTCTTTAATAATATTTGTTTAAAATTGTACCGAATTTCTCATATTTTTTCCCATTGATTGGTTTATAATCAAGCTGCTCTACAATTTTATTTATGTTATTTTTTGATAACATTATTTTAAAGTGTGTGTGTAAATAATTCACCACTACTCTGCCCCAACAAAAACTTAAAAGTGGAATATCTCATAAATGGATTGACGAAAATCAAAAATTTCAACACTAAAATTTATTTTAACTAATATTCAATCTATTAATGGATATTTAATATAAGTTGCCATTTGAAAGTCAAAAGTAGAAAGTGAGTTTACACCTAAAAATAAGGGCGCCAAAAAATAACATGATTATAAAATTGTAGAGCAGCTTTTCTTAAATATCCTAGAAAACAAATTTCGGAAAAATGAAATACTTTCCGAGATAACTAGTGCCTTATAATAGATTAATCACTCTGTATATGGACATCTGGATGGCTGATATTGTATTGGTTTTTTTTTTTTCACAAATTTATAAACCAATATTTTGAGAGAAGAATTTGTATAATATCTCTGTAATATGAAAAAAAAAAATTAAAGTAACAGTGTCATAAGTAGGGACAGGAATTTAATGTAAAATACATTTTTTAGTGGGTGATACAAGGCAATGCTTTCCAAGTACAATATTCATTTCATACATCAGAGAATTTTTATTTTGCATTTTTAGGTCATTTTTTATGTATATTTTTTGCTTGGAATTTTAAAAAGTTTAAAAATTAGTCACTTTTATGAAGAACGACTGGTTGTGCCTAAAAGTAATTCTCAAATTATCAAAAATATCAATAATTTCTTCTATAAAAAGGTAATCTGATTATAAATAACCTCGATAACATTACAATATGAGATAACAGCAAACACCAATGCACAACTGATTGGTGTCTGAATAGTAGGTACTTGTAGAGTGGTCAGTTGTACATCAGTGTACTTAGTGCGAATAGTATTGTGAAAGATGCTGAAAACTAAACTCTCAGACAACTGTTGATTACAAGTAATCAACAGAGTATGTACAAGATGTAAAGGATAAACAAGACATTTAGACAATTCCTTTTTTTTTTTTTTTGATGTGTTTCATAAATTACAGTTAAGTTAAAAATTATAACAATATTAAACATAAACAAAACATCTTAAAATTGTTCTTTTATTGAATTTAAAAACATTTTCAAAGTCTTTTAGGCCTTTTTTTTTAGTGCAATGTTTAATATTATAGCATTGTCATATTTTTTTAGGACACTTTTCTTATTTTTTAGGGCATTAAAGTCAGTTCCCTAATCATATGTAATTTATTATAATTTTAGCGATCAACATATAATTAGTCTACCAANCATTTCATAATTTGGGCAATATCGCTGATAGGATGTAACATAATACATATTTCAATATAAAGAATTTTTAGAATTACTTTGATCACTGTAAGTAATATTAAAATTTGAAAAATTATTTTAAAATAAGATTGAATATTAAAGTTTTAGGATTTTGTAACATTTATGTTTTTGTAAAATTAGAAAATTGTTAAATTGAATATAAAAGTGATAATTATTTTCTTACCTCAAAAAAATATTTGAATCGCTGTGGAGACCAAAGTTGTCCAGTAGCAAGAAATAAATCCAAACGTAAGGCCATTAAGTCCTTAATTATTAGTTTTCTTCTATTTTTAATCTGCATTGACAAGGACATGGCTTCCACAGAAGAATCTAAGACACATACACCACTATTAATAGTTGATAATGTTTTTATAGTAGTATTTCCCATTCTGGAAAACAGCATTTTTGAAATTTTTAATTCTGAGACTACTTTCACTCCATTGCCTATAGTGTTTGCAGTACTCAGTAAAGAAATAACTAAATCCAACAAATATTGGCATCCTAATGAACTTGTCAAACTTTCTTTATGCATTTTTAAGTCTACTATTTTCTCAACTGATCTGGTTACTGTAATCATGTTAGCAGTTATGCCTATTATTGCCGATGGTACCAATAAAGGTGCAAACTTTGGAAAAATGATCCCTCCAGCCATACATACATTAGATACTACATTTACTACATTTCCAGCTATTTCTATTTTTTTTATAGTTTTCCAAATTATATCAGATGCTGGTGTTAAGGTATGTTCCAAACATTTGGATTCCTCATAATACCCTGATGGTGGGTAAAACATTATTCCTTCAGGAAGATTATTATTTTCTAAATAATCTGTCCAATTTTCATATGTTCTTTTATGATTCAGATCAATATAAGCTGCACCATCAACAGTTTTAATTCTGAATAGATACCATTGGTGAACATTGTTAGCGGGGAAATTCCAACATATTTCACACTTTTCTTTGCAAGTACTATGAGTAAAAGTAATACCCACTTCAANAAAGTTGTCCAATAGCAAGAAATAAATCCAAACGTAAGATCATAAAGTCCTTAATTGTTAGTTTTTTTGTATTTTTAATCTTCATTGACAACCTTATGAATTCTGACATTACTTTTGTTCCACTGCCTATAGTGGTTACAGTACTGAGTAAAGAAATTTTTAAATTTGTCAAATGTTGGGTTCCTAAACATTTTTCATTATGCTTTTTTAAGTCTACTAATTTCTCAACTAATCTGGGTACTGTAAACATGTTAGCAATTATGCCTATTATTGCCGATGGTATCAATAGAGGTGCACATATTGGAAAAGCAATCCCTCCAGTGATACATACATTAGATACTACATTTACTACATTTCCAACTGNACTATTAATAGTTGTAAATGTTTTTATAGTAGCATTTCCCAATCCATACAGGATTTTTAAACTTTTTAATTCTAACATTACTTTTATTAAATTTCCAACTGTGTCTTTTAGTTTTAGAGTTTTTGAAATTATTTTAGATGCAGGTGTTAAGGTATGTTCCAAACATTTGGATTCTTCATAATACCCTGATGGTGGGTAAAACATTATTCCTTCGGGAAGATTATTATTTTCTAAATAATCTGTCCAATTTGCATATGTTCTTTTATTATTCAGATCAATATAAGCTGCACCATCAACAGTTTTAATTCTGAATAGATACCATTGGTGAATATTGTTAGCGGGGAAATTCCAACAGACTTCACACTTTTTTTTGCAAGTACTATGAGTAAAAGTAATACCCACTTCAATAGGTTTTTTTGATTTAACAATATTATCTACAACAGTTTTATAGACATCTAAAATATATCTCTTTTCTTCTGTTTCATAATGATTAAATATATCATCAGGTTCCTCTAAATTGTCATCATCATCTTCTACAGATGGAGAGCCATACATTATGAAAGCTATGTACAATTTTAGATCCTTGTACTCTATTGTTGTCCATTCTTGTCTGCCATTGAAAAATTTATATTGTATTAGTTCTAAATGTGTGATTAATTGTCGTCCTTTCTGAAAACAGTAGTAAATATTAATTATTTTATTAATTGGAGTAATTTAGGACTTTCAAGTATGTAATTACCTACATCTCTCAATTTTATATTTTATTAATTAATAATTTTATAGATTCTTATTTAAAAAATATTATTAATTTTGTTTATAACAATTCGATATTTAATGAAATAAATAGATTTCCAAAAATATAAAAGGCAATATTGTTCAACTAATGAGCAAATATTGAGATAATTGACAAAAAAATTGATTTTTAAACAGGTACACCTACCAAACATGTCTGTTTAATATTTTAGATGTTCAATGAACATTTATAAAAGATTTCTTAGTCTGGACACAGCATAACAATTTTTAATATAACTCATTAAGTAAGACAACTTTTAAGGCACCCAAATATACAGTATTTTCTAATAACAAAAAAATCACTTGACACTATATCATATTTATTCATATTACAAATTATAATCTATAGCAGTGGTATTCAACCTGTTGTATGCATACCACTAATGTTATGTGGACAACTCATAGGTACAGGAAGAAATTTGTTGACAAGTAAAAAAAAAATCATAATAATCATGGCAAGTGGTACATGAAATATTTTCAAAATTCCTAATGGTATGCGTATATGAAAAGATTGAGAACCGCTATTCTATGGTAAATAATTATTTAATATGTGCCTGCAACTGACCAAGCGAAAAAAGAATTTATATTGCATTATCGAGTTGTGGTAGAAGGTGGAAATTTTTTTGGCGGTATTATTATATTACTTATCATTGTCGACATCAAAAATCAAAAATTTTGCATTTAAAATATTACAATTTTAACAATATAATCATTAGAGATGTTCCGGGTTGTTGACATGACTATTATAAGTTTACCGATAAGGATTTAAAAACAGACAGTTCCTTCTATAGCCTCACCAGTAAGGCTGGCATCATTGTCTTGTATTACTTAGTTACTACTTGCATGTGGCTAAGTGGCTAAGTCAATAGCTCTGAATAGATATGTATTTACTTGAATTATTCTTAATAAGAAGACTATAAAGTTTCCCCTTAGACTTAGAACAGTGATCTTCAACTGTTGGGTTGCGATAAGTTTTTTTTTAAAATAAAAATTAGGTTTATACAATTATATAAGGTTTTGTATACCTTGTAATATATTATGTATAATCAATATTATATAGTTTATATTCAAAAATATAATAGTATAATAGATTTCAAATCATAGTGTATGATTCATATACTAGTATGATTCTACGTAGTATGACATTAAATATAATAATTTACGAGTAAACATGGTTAATAATAAAACAAATATATTATATTATTATTGTTAAAGAGTCCCATAATCTAGGAACATAGTTGATTTTGTCGCTGTGTTTAAAGAGGAATAAATATTAGTCGCATTATTATTCTAGTCAAATGTACGATAAAGTTTTTTTTATTTTTATTTATTCAGTTATAACAGTACCACTACTAAGTATTAAGTAACTTTAAATTTTTCTTTTTTAGTTGTTCCACAAACGTTTTTCTTTAAGTATGCCTTATATGGGTTACGGATAATGTACGCTTAAAAATGTGGGTCGTGAGTTCAAAAAGGTTGAAGACCACTGACTTAGAAGACTTAAAAATAAGGGAGACTTCTTCCTCTCTGTCTCCTAACTTTAATCACTGCAAATAGGTAAATATACCTTTATCATATAAACATAAACATATATAAATTCACCAAAAATCTTGCATTTAAAATATTATAATTTTAACAATATAATTATTAGAGATATTCTGGGTACCCGGCCATTGAGTCCTAACTGAGTACTCAATATCATATTCTGTACCCGATGACTACTCGGTAACCCATTTGTTAATAAATAATGGTACCCAAAACATCCCCAATATAAATTATAAGTAAAGTATATATGTATAAAGAAAAAAACAATTGAATAAGTATTGATTAGATATTTTAAATTATATTTTATCAATCAAATTAAACTCACCAAAAATTCTTCTTCCGACATATTGAAAAACGATTATCAATTCCCAAAATAACCAGGCAGATTTCTAAATAAAAATATACACGGATATAAGTATCATTGTTAGAGTAAATATTGATTTTAAGCAAATAAGTTTCTATTATACAATCAATTATCAATCTATCAACTACAAATACAATAAACAAATATTATTATAATAAGCAATATTTTATATTTTTATCGTCTATTTCCCAAAAAAATACTTCTGTGCCACAAAGTCCCTTAAAGTCAGTACATACCAATTATATACAAATTTAAACGTACAGTTATTAATATGGATTAATTGTTTTTGTACTTAATTTTTTTAAACGGCTTATAATAAATTTGAATTATTGTTTTGTTTGAGATTAAAACACATGAAAACAAATTAAATTTATATGTATATGAAATATATTCAATAGTATTGAATTATAATATTATACTATTAGAATTAAAAAAGTAAATTGTAGATCACAAATGTATCAGTAGATAGTTGAATTCTGGCTCTCGGGGATATCTCAGTACAATATAAGTACATCGAAAACGATTTGACCTAGTTTTGCTAAGTCAAATAATAGTAAATTACCAAGTAAATTAAAGGACTAAACCGGCTTTTAATCGTTTGTTAATACTTACTAAAGAATTTTAGGGATATTTATGTTTCCAGTCATAAAGATCAATACAAATAGTAAGTAAAACTGAAAAAATGAATATAAACTAAATTGTATAAAAACTTGAATATACGGCGAACACGGCCATTAAAAGTTGAAAACATATAAAAAAAAATGATAACAATTTAAAACAAAAAATGCAGGTCTATGGTTACAACCGCGACCTTTAATCATTTTTATTATATGATGTTATAAACAATTTGAAATGATAACGTCATGTCGACAACAATGTTCTGATAACTACAGACTACGCATAATGTTTAACGGTCATAGCCTCTTTCTAATAAACTCGTTAATTATTATAATTTATCGTTTTTTTTCCACGTAACATTCTGATGAATCGTTCTTCACTAAATACTATTATCGTTGTCGATTTGTATTGTAAAGTTTAAGCTCGTAGTTAAATAATAGTCGACAATTTTCCACAGCTGTGTAGCATTCTGCATTTTCCGTGTTTACTGTTTTTGATGTCTTGTTTCCGCCACTCTGTTTAAGGTAATAACTATTAATATTGTATTGTAGTGATGTGATTAAGTTTTCGTGTAAAAATATGTATGCACTACTGCGTTAAATTTTGACGGTAGCTATATTTATTAAACCATATAAAACCATAAGCTAATTTGATCATTACTGTCACTTAAATGTCTATCATTGTCAGTCGTGATATGTTTTTGAATATTAGAAACTGTTCAAAATTCTGGTTATCGCTTTGATTAGTGTACAAATTAGACAAAAAGTAAAAATTTATATTAATAAAAACTTAATATAGTAGCGGACTGGAGAGAATAATCCTCCCAGAAAAATTAAAGTTCAAGTGGCCTTCATTAGGTAACAGCCATCATTATTCTTAATTAAATTGTTTCTTTCTTAAATTGTTTCTTCTAAAAAAATAAAACCAATATATATATATAAATATATAGGTAATATTTAAGACCTTAATCAGAGAGTGGCCACCGACATTTTATCAATGGATATGGATGGTGCCAATGTGCTATTTTCTGTTCAAATATTGTTATCAGCATCGACTAAATCTAGTTTTTAGTAATCCACCTATATCTGTTTTGTAATTACCATCTATTGAGATGTATGGCTTGGGCAATTTAACAATTGGCTTATACATGATAAATTATTGGTTTTTAGACATTTAATTCATACCCGTTGTTTTAATTATGAAATTGTTTCTTTCCTTACAACTCCAGGCCTGTGCTGGCAATCTCCATTAAAATAAATGGAAGTAAATACTATAACTTATGTTTTAGTTACTTCATGTAAATTATAAAATAACTTTAAAGTATGTGACCTTAAAAATCCAAATTAAGCTAGTTGTATTCAGTCTACTTAAGTATATTTTTATTCAAGTGTTATAGTTGGGCCGAAACACTAAATGCTAATGGTATCATATCCTCTTAACAAATATGTTCAGAAGTAGGTAATTGAACTTGCAGAAGTTCTGTAAAACGTGTATAAATATCATATTATGTATAAGTATCCTGTTTGAAAAATGTTAGAAAAACATTAAAATATTAATTGATAATATTATTTAGACAACATTTTATCATTGATCATTGATGACAAGAACCAATTAGAAATAATAGTACCGGTGTCCTCTCTTACTTTAGGCTCTAGATAATATTAGTGTACATCATATTAATATTATTTATATATGTCTATTTTTAAAGAATAAATCAAATAAGTAGAAACAAAATTAGTTTTTTTTATATGAATGTCTGCCTTTTAACAAATTACTTTTTGATTTTAACAACTCAATTTTTTCATCACTTTGAATATTAATTCTCAATTATTTTTCTATTGCCACCATCTAGGATTTTATCATTTCAATATAGTAGTATAGTAAACATATATATATATAAAAAAAAATGTGTGTATAGAAATAAAAATGAATGAATGAATATTTCACCTGAAGTATTATGACAATTGTATTATAGGGTTTTAAATTAAAAAACAGTAATAATGTAAAATGTGACTGATTATAAAAATCAAATGAAGGAATATATAGAAAAATAAATTATACTAATTGGTCATTTAACATAGACATAATTTATTTTAATAAATACCCATCTAAATATAAGATATTATTTTAAATGGGTAATTATTAGATTTAGATATTAATATATACACAAGATTGATAACTGCAATTTCTTTTAAGTATTTGATTTGATAAGGCAACACACAAAGCATTTAGAATAAAAACAAGTTTTAGACAAATAATAAACTTAAATAGAATAATAATTATTCATTCTAGTTATTTTTATATGATATACAGAAGAAAACTGTATCTTTGTTGAAGTGTTTTTGTTTTTTAATAAAGATTTACAATAAGTTATGAAATTATAAACATCGTGGTTTTATGTATTTTTCTAATGCATACTTATACAATAAAATCGAGTATTTTTGAGAAAAAAATGTTTCAGTCCAAATATTATTAATATTTTCATTAATATAAATTGAACATTTCATGTAGGTATGTTAATTTTATTTTTCAAGTTTCATAATCATACATTAAAATATACAGCAATATGACTATTATTAGCTATAACCTAGGGTTGCATTGACCTACATTGGGTAGGGAAATTCTAGATTGGTTTGATTTAAAATAAATAAATTTGTCCTACATTCAAAAATATTTTAAATTTTCTGTAGGACAGTTTTACATTTCAATAACTAGGTTTATATTATACATTATAGTGTAAAGAATATAAAAAATATGTTTGGTTATATTAAATTTTATTAAGTTTTCTTTTATTAGTTAAATATACTGTATTATTCAAAGGTTTATTATAATGCAAGGATGGGCAACTGGTAGGCTGCGTACCAATTTTACTGGCTCATCCTACATTTTCAAATTAATTAATAAATACCATATGTATAAATAATTAAATAAAAAAAAATAAATGTCAGTTATATCATCGCTTATTCAATTAAATATTATATAAGTATGTGAATGTGACAGTACACTCACTTGGCAAACAAATCAAGACAAAAATCAAAGAAAACTGTAAGAAAAAAATTATTTAAATTTNAATATAAGATATTATTTTAAATGGGTAATTATTAGATTTAGATATGTTAAGAAATATAAATTATTTGGTTATTATTTATTATCTAAAATGTATTGATATAATAAAATATTATTTTTAAAATCAGTTTTTACATTTAAAATATTATTCAAATTATTTTTCTATATTTTATTGTATATATTAATGTAATTCTAATTTGGTTATTTAATATCTGTTTGTACCAATATCAAGGCTTATATTTTGGTTATTTTCTAAAACATATTTAGTTAAATTTAAATTAGAGACAGACTTTTAAAATTTTATTTCAGAAATGTATTCTTTATATCATATTTTAAAATTTCTATTTGCCTTAACTATATAACATTGATTACAGATACATTCAAGTTTATATATAGCAGCATTTTCAAAAGAAGGAAGATTCTCTGTAAAGTTTTTAGTTCTATTGTTTATATGTTTGAATAAATTATTATTAGTCTTAAAAGTGACTTTTACATTATTTGTATTGTTCAGAATTCTAGTAAATTCGTTAGATATATAATGGAATTCACAAAAAAAACTTTAAATTGTAATAATAATAATAATAATATTCAAAGCTTAACACATAACCTAACTATAATTTAAATTAAACAAATTTAAAAACTGATAACAAATTCAAAAGAAATTACACCTAACATCCAAAAGAAAATATTATGAAAATCTGATTATAAAATAAAGACGCCACATACATCCATTCATAAAATAACATACACGAGGTAATCATTAATCAATTGACCATTAATTAACTTTAAAACTGCTCCAGCTAAATACCTTGCTAAATATTTAGACTTTCTCACGAAAGAAAAATTAAACATGAATACTGATACTTCTATAAAAAAAAAAACACTTATAATTTTATTAAAAAAATTAATAAAATTAATATTGAGCCAGATTCAAAATGGTTTTTCTTTTTGTCAACAATTTATATACGTCCATTCCTAAACAACTATTTGTTTTTAAGTTTTTAAAAAAAAATTTCCTGAATAAAGTTATTACTTTCTGAGATAATGAGTATTTTCAGTTAAGTGAATCCTGTATATAGAAATATGTGCAATTTGTATATAAATTATGTACATACTAAAAAAAAAAATACTGAATGGAGAAAAATCAAAATAAAGTTTACTTTATTGAATTTAGACTGATTCAAAATGTATTTATATGTATGAATTAATTTTAACCGAAATCCCTTCAAATGTAGTAATTGCTATAAAGTTTAAGCCTTACTGATCACTCACTAAAAATGTTAGTGGATGACTGATTACATTTAAAAGAAAGATACTGCAAAGTATATACAAAAGTATGAACAGTTATAGATTTACAAGAGAAGAAAAAAATTTAAATTAGCTTTTATTTAATTTCATGTCCTTGTTTATTTTAGAATGCCACCAATAACTCGACATCAGTCAAAAAAATCCACTTTTAAGCCTGAACCATATTCAAAAGAGAACCGTCCAACAGAAAAAAGAAGTGCATTACAAAACTTAGTTGGAAATAATGTTAGTGAATTTTATTATTTATATCAAAACCACATTATTTGGTTTACAACTGTATTTAGTTTTAAANGTATTTTTAAAAATGACAATATTACGAAAACTGAAAACACGAATAGGCTTTCTCAGTCAAAAAGTGAAATTTCTAAACCAGTTGATACTAAAACTCCAGAGTATAATTTGATTTATTCATTTGCTTTTTTAAAAATAAATTTGATTACTTTTGTTATAGAATCATCCATCCTTCCATCAATAATACAAAAGAGATTACATTATACCATTCAATAATTGAAGAACAAACCAGTTCTAAAGATTCTCAAACAACTGAAGAATTATATGAAACTGCAGTTGACAAAACTCAAAGACAGTCTCTTGAAAATAATACTTCAGAATTATACCATTCTACTGTACAAGAACCATTGGTGCCGATGTTAGTGCATTTATATTATGTTTTATTTTTATACTGTATTAACATTGATATTTATTTATAGAAGTACAAATAATTGTAAAGGAGATACCTTTAGAGATATATTTGAAATAGATGAACGTAATTGGAATAATCTTTTACATGTTGGTTGTTATGCTCGTGATATTTTTGAATATCTCCGCTATAGAGAGGTTAGTTACTTATTGAAAAAATATTGATACCAATTCCATGATATATATTTCTTTTTTCTTTTTATAGAAGCAGTTTAATGTATGTGATTATATTAGCATCCAAAGTGAAATAACCCCTAGGCATCGTGCTATAGTTGTGAATTGGTTAGTTGATTTACAAGAAATTTATGGTTTAAATCATGAAGTATTATACATGGCTGTCAAAATAATGGATTTGTATTTAATGAATAATACAATTGAAAAAGATTCCTTTCAACTGTTAGCTTCAGGAGCAATTTTATTATCTAGTAAAATTGATGCAAGTTTAAAGATTACTTTTACCTTTTAATTTGATTTTATGTGTTATAGTATAATGTTTTATAAATTTTGTTTTGTGTAGGTAAGAGAGCCAGGTTTTCCATATGATCTAGTGAAACAGAGTAAGTACCTTTTTACGGAAGATGAACTGTTTCTCACTGAAAGAGAAGTAGTCAAAGCTTTAAATTATGACCTAAACATTCCTTTGTCATATGGATTTTTAAGACGATTTGCCCGTGTAAGTAAAATTATGTTTTTATTTTATACTATTAAGATAATTGTTAATTTTAATTCAATTTTCAGTGTATGAAATGTCAAATGTTTTTATTGACATTAGCCAGATATATATTGGAATGCAGCTTATTAGATTATACATTTGTTATTTTAAAAGAATCATTGAAAGCTGCAGCATCATTATATTTAGCTTTTAAAATGTGTTCACATTCAATTGATAGAAATGAATTCAACAAGGTTACAGGTACTGTTAAATTATATACTATAATATTAATGGCACCTATTTGAAAAAAAAATTAAATGATGCTATTTCATTTTGGTGTATACTTTTGCTAAGATCATGTTTTAATGTTAGGTTTTATTTTTATTTTCCCAGTAAATAAAGAAATGTGAAATTGACACCCAGATTGAAAAATAAATATATAATTTTAAAAATACTAATCATAATTTAACTGTATATATTGTTATGTATTTTTGCCATTTAAAAATATTTTGAAGAATTTTTCCATTTATGTCATTTTTCTTTTTGTATACATACTTTTAGGTTATTCTGTTTGTGAAATTAAAGATATAGTTATTGCTCTTAATAATATGTTACGCACTCAAAGTCAAGATTTATGTGCTGTCAAACAAAAATATATGCATGAGTAAATATTAATTTTAAGAAAATCATAATATAATAGTATTTACGAAATATATATATTGTTGTTTCAGGACTTTTTTTAAAGTTGCTAGCAAGCCATTACTAAGCAATTCAAAACTTATGTTTGACTGAACCATCAAAGTCATCTTCAAAATTTTTATTTTGTTGTATTAAGTAGTTAAGTATATATCTATATAAATAATAATAATTTTTTTTTTCACTTGATTTCTTTTAGAGGGGGTTTTTTCTGTGAGTATTTTTTTAACAAGAAATTACATATGTAAAAGTAAAACTGTATATCTATTAATCATTATTCATATTAGTTTTGTAGTTAAATACTTTGTTGAGTTACTTTAACATGATTCATTTCAATTGCTATTGTTTTAAATTTACGATTTTAACTGGTTTAAACATATCCAAATGTATACATTTTGTGTTTGGGTATATTAATTATATAATCACATAAGACTTGTATTGTTTCTTTATTAAGTTTTATTTTTGTCATATTGATAAAAATTATAAATTCTGTTGTCAACAATGACCAATAATTATTGTATACTTAGTAGCGGGTTTACTTATAAATATTACTTATTTTAAAATTGTATAGAACATTTATCTGAAACATGTTATGAATATAAATAAAACTTATATTTCAAAATTTGTTATTTTGTCAAGCTGAAACAATACTTGTTTTAATATACTTATGCTATTTTTACAACAATTGTGTTTTTAATTTAAAAAGTCAGTTGATTTGCTTAATGTTTGTACAATGTTAAGAGTCACAGTGACATTTGCCTTATATATCTTTTATTATATCAATAATATGTTCCCATAAAACAAATAAAAAGATCTTAAAAATTGATTTTATGAATAAAATATGTTTTATATAATGTATATATGACATTTTATAGAAAATCATTGTCTTAATTAATTTTTTTAAAAGTTAGTTATTTAAACAAATTTAAAATAAGATGTTGTACCTTTAATGAGTTGAATATTTTGATAAATATTTACTGTTATTAGCCTATAGGGATATTTTCAAAATTTTGTCAACTAAGGCTAGGTGCACACAAATTTAGTGTGAAAATTCTGAGAAAAGCGCATAAATGCACACTAATGCAATGTGGCAGTGGTGCTAACGAGAGCAGTAAAGATAATACTGTGATAACTAGAGTTCTGATGTTTTTGCATTTGCAAGTTTTCCTCTATTGATCCAATTTATTGTTTAGTAAGTTTTAAATGTGTTATGTGTAAATAATAAATATTAAATTTTAAATTTCAAAGTGCAGTTGTAACCATTTTTTTTATTTAATTTTATATACATAATATTATACAATTTTAAGTAGATAGTCATTATTTGATAAAAATCTTCAACTCACTCTATATGTGATTAATCACAGATCAGGTATGGGTGCCTAAATATTACTCCATACTCCAAAATAGAGTGTGCAAAGACATTTGTCATAGTTGAAATTAGAGGTGTTCCATTTGATAAATCATTGAACTTGTGAGTGCTCTACAATTATATGAAATTCAAAGGATGATGAAAGTTGATAGTTGACCCAAAAAGAGATTAGGATTGAGACAGGGTGGTACTGCTTCTAGAAAAAAACATAAAATGGTATTTGTCAAGGTTGAGCATATGATTAAGGCACTGAACCCAGTCATAGATAGCATCTAGGTTTAATTGGAGTAGGAGACAGTCAGATAGAGATTATTTTAAGGTGCAATTTTATATCATCAGCAAATAAAAGGATATTAGTAAATGTTCGAAAAAATTCTTGACAAATATTGTGAATAGAATGAACCACACCTTGGGTTAACACCGAATGGTGTAATTGTAGAAGAAACTGTTAATAGAAACAAGTTGTACATTAAAATATTGAAACTGGTACTACATTTAATTTTAGAAAATATACTATACTTTCTATACATTGGAACTAGATTTCTTTTCGAATAGTGCTTTATAGACAGAAAAAAAAAATAAACATTTCTCTAGTGAGTATATGTGGTTGGATAAAGTGAATTGAATAAAATTATATGTATCTATTTGAATTTTCAATATAGTTTTAAAACATTTATTTTCCTATAATGCTACCTATTTACTAGGTATATTAATATTTTTTCCTAATGTTTATTATAGGCAACTAAACATGTTATTCTATATATTATTCAAAAGCAATTATCTGTAAGGGGCAGATATAGGCCATATGTGATATTGACCCTGTGAAAGTTCGAGTTATTGATAAACAATTGAACTGGATGGCCATCACTGTACGGCGTAACCATCCTAGTGTGACGGGAACCACATAAGGTTATACATTTTTAAAAATAAAACAATTTGTCATTGTTATTGGGGACAGCTGAAGTTTTGCTGCTATCAGCATGCAGCCAAATCAGAGAGGCCAAATTTTTCAGTTTCATGGAGCGTTTTGCTGTGGGATATAACATACAAATTAATACTACTGGGGTACCAAATGATTTGTACATAACATTAAGACAACAATAATAATCGCGGGAATATTAAACCAGAGAAAAAATACATACAATTTATTTCATGTTTGTGTATAGGTATTAAATAATTCAACATTCTCGTTTAAAAAATATGGAGGTTGTTAAGGTTGGCATTATCTTACATAATCTAATTTTTTAAATTTTTTTTCCACGGTTTCGGGAAAAATATACCCATTCCAAAATAACAGAGCTGAAATAAAGACATTATCAGTGGACCTCAAACGTTATTAAACGTTCAATGGGTGTATTTAGTGCCATATATGTTTAGAACTAATAATTAGTTATTTTATAATACTATGTTGGGGCGTCCTAGGGTTTATTTTTAGAGGGATGTGGAGTAAATTTTGCTGACTTCACAGAACAAAATTTGACAACTGTAAACACTGATGACTGGTATTATATACCATAATATCTGCCAACTTTTATCAGCTATTACAACCAGTTGATTTTCAACAATCGTTCAAGGAAATACTTATTAATAAAATGACGTCCTAGGGTAATGGGGACGCGTGCAGTCACTGTTATAGTTAATTTATCGATTCTGAGCAGAGTTCAGTGATGCTTTGTCAACAGTATATATGCCATAATGCAGTAAAATAATTTAAAAGGCTATATATTATTTTATTAATAATATTTGTTTAATGTTTACCGATTTCTCTCCGGTTATCCTACGTTTTTCCATGTTTTTTCTTGGTTTTACACATTTGCTGGAAAAAGTCCTTAGAAAATCGAAAAATGACTTCTCTTAAGTACCTTAAGACTCCGACTGGAGAGTCGGATTTCCTTTTAGAAATTTTGCTATCATTATAAATTGGAGCAAAATTGCAGATTGAAAAATTGTCCACCAAAAAAGAATAATCTTAATATTATATAAATATATTTCGTACATTTTCCTATTTTTTTTTTCGGTTTTTTGCATTTGATGAGAAAATATGAAAAATGACTTCTTTACAGTACCTCCCCATACTGATTTCTTTTCAGAAAAAGTGCTATATTTAAACATCGGAGTAAGGTCTCTGATAGAAAAGTTGTCCACAGAAAAAAAAAATAAAAAATAATATTCATCATTGTAAGACTATAAGTTTCTTCGCTGCATTCAGAATCTAAAATATTCTAATTTTAGGTACTATAAGTATTGTGAATAGCTATAATAAGCCGACTGAAAATTACAGTTGCCGAATTTAGAGGGGTCTCACCCTACCCGAACCCCTCCCCCCTTAGGATCACCCATGATATTATGAATAGATTAATAGATAGATAAATTAAATAATTTTTTCGTAGTTTAAAATCTAAATGATAATTTTAAATTCTGAATTAATTATAAATAAGCTATTTAAATACTAATTATATTATCTAATAAAGGGTTAAAAATATATAGGTATAACAAAACATAAATAATAATATATATTTTGTAATAATTTTCAATTTATAAAAAGATTAAGAGCTGATACTGGGGATGGGTGAGGCCACTGTTGTAGGTGGGTAGTGGGGATGGTGGGATACATAAGGTTATTTCATTTATACTGTAAGCAACGATAAACCATTGCTGACGAAAGACCAATCCGAGCACAGTTCTGTAGTACATAATTTGAAATATCGTAATTTATTTTAACCTAACCTTTTTGCGTTTTTTTCTGATTATTATAAAAACTAATTCGAAAATTAAAAAAACTAACAGTATCATTAAACACAAGATTAATAATTTAACAAAAAAGGTCTCTTGTCGTTTTTCAATTAAAATCATATTTGTACAAGAAAACGTGGTAAATACTAATTTAAAATAACGAAATCGTGAATAAATCATATTTTTTTCCCAGTTAATCGTTTTTTTTTTTTTTTTTAAATTGTGCTTTCAGAAAAGTTGCTACACATAAAAATCGGAGTATGTTTACTAAGAAAAAACGTTTCCACAGACTAGAACTAAGAAATAAAGAAATAAAAACCATCTTAATAAAATCAATAGCTCTCACGCTGTGCTCGGAATCTAAAACAAAGAAGTAATAATGAGTGATTACTATGTATTTACTAGTTTGACTAATTGTTTTCGTTTGCATTAAATTAAGTTGAGTTAATTTTCATTCTCATGGTAATAAAATTTGATATTATTTGTGGCAATACATCTTTTTAATGTTCAAGAAATATGGGAAATTGATTCACTAAAAAGTAATTAATAATCATTAAAACAGTGTCACTGTTTTTACAATGTTTGGCAAATGATTTTTCAAAAAAAGTTAGTAATCTAAATAAAAATCATTTGAATGAGTCATACTATCATGAGTTTCGTACATTAAATATATACATCATACGAGATATACATTAAATTTCCCCTCTACTAACTTCCTTAATTTTCCCTTTCAACAGTGGATCAACCATGTGCGAATTATGTTTGTCTTTTTTTAAAATAAACATTTTACTATAATGTAGACATGATTATACATGTGCTTAAATTAATTTGTGGTATATTATTGATTTTTAGAAAAGTATTTTAGATTCTGAGCGGAGCGAGGAATGTATGGTTTTACAATGATGTTTTTTTTTTATTTCTTTTTTCTGTGGATAACTTTTCTACTAGTAATTTTGTTCCAATTTACAATGATGGCTCTTTTTCTAAAATTAAATTCAACTGGGGATGTACTTTAATGTGGTCATTTTTTTATTTTCTCAGGAGTTTTACCAATTAATTGTAAAAAGCGGGAAAAAACAGCAAAAATGTACGAAATGTAGGTATCAGTTAAAAAACTGTCCTAGGATAATGGGGACGGGTACAGCCACTATTATAGGTAACTCGTGAGGATAGTAAGAAGTTAGGAACATAGTAGAGGGGAATTTAAATATAATCTGTAATCTTCAGAATCGAAAACACGATTTTGAGCAGAGTTCGGTTGATAGCTAGTGTTGGTTTGTCAACAACATATAGGTTATATTATGGTAAAATAATAACAAAATAATAATATGCGTTATACATTTTCTTTAATAATATTTGTTTAATATTGTACCTATTTCCCCGTTGTTCCTTTGTTTTTTTCTAGGTTTTTCTCATTATATTATAAAAATAGCTGGGAAAATCAATAAATTACCTCACTATCCTCATTAAAGAATCATCCCAGTAAGATTTTCTTTCAGAAAAAGTACTCTTATTGTAAATCGGATCCCAATTACTGGTAGATAAGTTATCCACAGAAAAAAAAAATAAAAACCTTATT